GACCCGATTTGACGGATTGACCTGTGTAAAAGGCGGGAGATGTTAGCGGGACGAGTGGTGCTGCCGACGATTGCCCTAGCACGGATGTAGACAAGACCAAGTCGTTGCGGATTAGCCGCTCCAGAAGCCTAATGCAAATTGCAAGAGTGTTGCAGTAGGGCGGGATGATAGCGGCGGGTAGCTTGCAAAAGCTGCATGTCTGGTAAATTTGCAAGGTGGAAAAGGTATCCGTCAAGTTCCAAGTGCGTGAGTTGTCTGCACGCATGTCCGGATGCCGGGGACTAGAGAGCCTCGAATAGCGTCTGTATCTTCGAGACCTCGACTGCTCTGGTGTCTCTCATGGTGCTGCTGGCATTGAAAATGTCCCGAGAAGGGACGGGATGTCCGTCACATCTAGCGTTCAAGGGCATTGGCCGAAGTGCCGAATTCAGAAGAGGCAACCTCTCTGGTTGGACGGCGAGGAATGCGAGTGCCGCTGACTGCTGCTGCTTGCACAGGTACGCGCTTTCGTCTCGTTGCAGAACAAGATGCCTGATGATTGATGCATTCCATCGGGCGAGAAAAGGAAGATTAGAACGATGACAGATTGAGATGGGTGAGGTTCGGCCGGTACGTATTGCATCCGGCGGTACAAGCAACTCGTCCTGGGAAGCCGCCTTACCCGTGCCTGCCACGCCTGCCTTACCTTACCTTTACATACTTCCACCTCAGTAAGGTAGGTACTTGCCTCACATCACCGCCCTGACTCCCCGGCGCTGTCTTGGAAAGAACGAGGCAGTCACCACTTGCCAGTCCAGTCCGGCTCAGTCGCGACTTCTCGGCTCAGTCGCAACTGCCATTTGGAAGAAAAACGATGAAAGAAAAGAGTAGGTATGACGCCGAGACAGTGTACATACGGTGCTTACGAGAAACTGGCAACGCCGAGCATGGGGGGGAAAAGTTTGAAAGGGCCGTTTCCTGATAACAATCTGATTGGTCGATTGGCAACAACCTCGCAGGGTTGGTGACGGTTGTCCCCAGCCCCCTCCCCAGAGCAGAAAGCCCGTCAAAGCTCAATCGCGAACAGCAGGGTAGGTCCCCCAACGTCGAAGCTCATGACTGGCAGCGAAATTTGGAGGGCCAAAAGCTTGTTGTGATCCACTTACCTTGGAGTGCTGGACGATAGAGAAAAAGGGCCGTGCTGTTGCTGAGCGTTGGGAACTGTGTGGGGGTGTGCAATATCCCATGTCGACAATAGTCAGGTAAGATACGTACTCTAATTGTTTGATCTTGCACAATTTGTACGTACTCGTCCACTCCTTCACTTCACTGATCAGTGCTAGCAAGCCGCGTTGGAAGTGCGGCATGTTATCCGCCGTGGCTTGATGACTGATGCGCGTGGTGAGAGTGCCACTGCAATTACACGGAGAAAAAAAACTTCAACCCGCGACCGCCGGGCGTAACCATTCTCGTGGGACTTGGAAGTAGTCCAATGCGCCAATTGGCGTCGTCTTGTTCCATTTGACCCGGGTGAGGCACTTAATGGCCGTTGAAAAATAAAGAGACATGCACCGGTTGTATCCGGACTTGTTATTGTAGTGTACCCGTATGTGCTGACCGCCAGCGTTGTCGTCCTTTCATCCACCCATCCATCAAGAAGATTCGACGGCAGCGTCCAAGCTCATGCGGTTCGCAAGTCGTACGGCGGCAAGGAAGAGTGGGAAAAGGGTAGGGGGAGAGCGGCGCACGCTCCATCAGGCGAACCCGAGACAGACCAAGAGCCGACGACGACGACGAAGACGACGACTGCCATACTGTAATCCATGGATGCACACGGTCCATGCCCGGCCTGTCTGCCTGTCGCGGCTCGCCTGTCGTTGTCGTGTTTGGGCCCTGGGAAGCAGTGTCGTCATTTGATGCCATGGAACGGCTCGAAAAATCGCGCAAGCCTCTGTTCCTATTTGGCCAATGTCTGGGCGGCTTCGGAGACCCCAGGAAGGAAACGAAGCGGAAGCACCCTTTGGAAGGAAAGGAAAAAAAAGCACTCAGCAATCGGGCAATCCAATAGTGAAGCAGCAAGCAGGCAATGGTACGGATGAGCAGATGTCAACGGGTACGGGGCGACGAAGACGAACTTACCTGAGGATTACCTACAAATGCGCTTAGGTTTCGCGGCATCTTGATAGTCAGCTCAGAACAAGGTACCACATGGACAAGGTAGCGATGTGTAAGGTTGTACGTACCTGACGTCCTGGCCTGATGTGTGGATGTGCGGTTCTGACCCTGCCCAACATGTCGGCGACCCCACAAGCCCGCGGAAAGGTGGTGCTAAACTTCTAAGGCATGCACACCTTTTCTGCTTGCTACGCAGGTATGGTGCTCTGCTATCCACGGTTGATGAGCGAGGTATCACCGATGGTCAGCGAGCCAGTGACGAAGCTCGGATTGGTGGGGGGCGTGGAAGAGCCAGATCAATGAGTGAGATGGAACGGAGGAAAAAAAAAAAAAAGTGGTAGCGCAGGAAGCCAATTCGCCCAGTGCGCCTTAGTCAACGCAGAGGAAGGCAGAGGAAAAAAAAAAAAACGAAAATTGGGCCACCTTCCCACTTAGAGAGGTCTCCACTTCGCTCCCACATCTGGGCCACACGCTGCACCTGCAGCCCACTTCTTCTACCCAGGTACCTGCCTTCCCCCCATGTCTGCACCTGGGAAACCTGCACGATACCTGGTCCTGGGAACCGTAGCCCGGCGAGTCCATGTGGGGCACTGTACTTTGTTTACTTGCGAGATTACCTTGTGCATCTTGTTTTCGCACTGTTATCCGTACTGGCTTGTGTGTGTGGGAGAGCAACAACACTGAGCTCATCCAAAGGAGGATGCGAGTGTCTACGCAGGGATCCCAGGACTGTCTGTGGTGTGTTTGCACGTCCCAGCTCCTGTCTCTTGAGAGCTTTGCTCATGTGCCATCCCATCCGCGTAACCGCATCGCACCTCAATGGCTTAGCAGATAGAGAAGAGACTGCGGTGCAGTGCGGCGCGCAAAGGAAGCAAAGTTCAATGTCATTCAACTGAGAACTCTTCAGGCTTAGGCTCAGGCCTTCGACAAAGTCGATTGGCGTGAGGTACTCCGTAATAAGTGGTGTTGCACAAGATTACGCTGGCTTGGCTAATGGTCCGTGTTGGTGCCAAGCTTGCTTTTTTTTGCGCTCACAAATCTCACTCATCAATCGCCCTGCGCGTCACACATGGGAAATTCTCTCGTCTGCTTGCGGCCATTTCCCCCCCATTGCTCGCCCCAATTGCCGCCGTATCCCAAATATGCTGTGCACATTTTCTCCAATCGTACGGATACCGTCGAGGTCAAACTCAATTCGTACTGTGGGCACTCCTTGTATCTTGCCCCCCCAGCCCAATGTACTCCAATACTTTATTCTGATAGCTCCAGCGCAAAGTATCGCCCATCGTCCAGACGGGGGAAGGATGGATGATTTTTCAATGGGTCCCTCCTCTCGGGCCAGGTTGAATAATGGATCCTGACATCGTCCGGTTCTGGCCCTGTCCACTCTAGCGCATATCCTCGTTCTTACCGTGTTGTATCCGTAGGGGCGGCCCATGTAATTGTAAGGTTGACTGGAGTGCCTTTCCTCACGAACCCGGTACCTTACTGTTGTTCTTGTTTCTCTGTTGTTGTTGCTGCTGCTCAGTGCTGGGGGGCAGTCACGAATGTGGGAGAGTACTGGGGCCGCCAGGTACCATGAACCGATCAATGGATCCCAATGCTGGTAGCTTCTCCAGCTATTGTTGCTTTCTCCGCGACCTCGCCAAGCGTGAAGAGGTACCTTGCCAGCCTTGAACCTGGACCATACCTCACCTTCCTTGCACCGTTGTGAGTCCCGTCCTGTTTTCCCTTACCTCACTTCACCTAAAGGTTACCTTACGAATAGCTCCCCCGTACGTATACCTGCTGGGGCGAAACCGCACCTCAAGATTCTCTCGGGGTGAGTAAGGTGAGGTGAGAGATGAGGTAAGGTCACCTTTCGTAACCCGGCCCCAGCAGCCAAGGTACCTAAGTAATTGGGTGAGTAACCATCGGAGCCTGCGACGACTGCCCGGCCTTGAAGACGGGAGAAAGAAAGACGGGATGCTCTTGCCTCCAAGGTGAGGTAAGGTAAGGTAGGTACGTATGTCTTCCCTGCCGTACCTTCCTTGCCGCGTCGCTACCGCTGTCGCCGTCCATCTCGCGCCGCTCTTTCCTCGCTTCTCTCTGGGCTCTCTGTCTCTCTCGCACGCTGTTGCCGTGGGCGGACTAATACCGTCGCTTGCGGGTACGTAGTGGGGATCCCGATTGGGATGGATTGGCTTTTTCCCTCTCTCTCTCTCTCTCTCAAAACTTCTGGGTCGCAAGGAAGGAAAGTGCAGTCGGCCGGATAGCTCGCTCACTCGCTCCACGCCCACACCCGTCCCACGCCCATCCATGATCCACGGCCCACGCCCACGCCCACGTTTATCCACGCCCACACTTGAGCCTGCATCCACACCCACGTCCCCGTCAGTGGTCGCCTCTTTCTGGTCTGGTCTGGTTCTTGCTTTGCTTTGGATGTTGCTGTTGCTGCTGCTGCGTCTGCTTCTGCTCCTGCCGCTCGTGTCTGCCTCTCTCCTACCCACGGCTCGTTTCTCTTAAGTAGCGAAGCTTCCACCCGCCTTTACTGGAACGCCTCTTCCCCTTCTCTTTCCTCCATCACCCACGAAGGCTGCCTATATAGATTGCCCTTCACATTCGTGTGGTGCTCAAACCTCTCTCCTCCATCTCTCCACTCTCCCCCTCATCACCTTTTCCTACGCGCTACCCTGCGATCTCAACCAATTCAGTATTCCTAGGCCCGCCCTACGAAGAAGCACAAGCAGTACCTCGCCGTTTCCCTCGGACTTATCTTACCTATCAATTCCTATCCGCGACAACAAAACCACCTTATTCGCGCATAATAAGCTTGAGCAGAGCTCGTCTGTCTCACTACAACCGCAATGGCCGACTCACACGCCGCCGCGGCCCCTGCTCTCAGCACGCCCATTGAGAGCCACAAGTTCGATGAGAAGGAACGCCCCGTTGATGCGCCCCCGGCCGCCAACCCCAAGGTCGAGGACGAGGAGGACGATGAGGACATTGACGCCCTGATTGAGGACCTCGAGTCCCAGGACGGTCACGTCGACGAGGAAGAAGAGGGTATGTCTCTTTAGACTCGAGATGAGCACCTGTATTACAGGCAGACCATGGCGCTTGCCATTGCTCCTGTCGAACAGATGCTCTCTCATCTCCCGAACATGTCAATTGACAGCTTGCTAACATCCAAACAGATGAAGGATCTCCTGGCATGGGCCGTGTTGTTCCTGAGGAGCAGCTCCAGACTGACACTCGTCTCGGTCTGACTGAGCAGGAGGTCATCAACCGCCGCCGCAAGTGGGGTCGCAACGAGATGGCTGAGCAGAAGGAGAACCTCATCCTGAAGTTCTTCATGTTCTTCGTTGGTCCCATTCAATTCGTCATGGAGGCTGCCGCCGTCCTTGCCGCTGGTCTTGAGGATTGGGTCGATTTCGGTGTCATTTGCGGTCTTTTGCTGCTTAACGCCGCCGTCGGTTTCGTCCAGGAATTCCAGGCCGGATCTGTAAGTCAACACCGCCCCACACCACTGGCACGCGTTGCCAAGGGTGCCCCGAGATCACATTGCTAATTGCCCCCACTACAGATTGTTGCCGAACTCAAGAAGACTCTCGCTCTCAAGGCTGTCGTTCTCCGTGACGGCACCCTGAAGGAGGTTGAGGCCCCCGAAGTCGTTCCCGGTGATATCCTCCAGGTTGAGGAGGGTACCATTATCCCCGCTGATGGTCGCATTGTCACCGAGGATGCTTTCCTCCAGGTCGATCAGTCCGCCATCACTGGTGAGTCCCTCGCCGTCGACAAGCACCGCAACGACAACTGCTACGCTTCTTCCGCTGTCAAGCGTGGTGAGGCCTTCGTCATCGTTACCGCCACTGGTGACAACACCTTCGTCGGTCGCGCTGCCGCCCTTGTCAACGCTGCCTCCGCTGGATCTGGTCACTTCACTGAGGTGTTGAACGGCATTGGTACCATTCTGTTGGTCCTTGTCATCTTCACTCTGCTTATCGTCTGGGTTTCTTCCTTCTACCGCTCCAACGGCATTGTCGACATCCTTCGCTTCACCCTCGCCATTACCATTATCGGTGTCCCCGTCGGTCTTCCCGCCGTCGTCACCACCACCATGGCTGTCGGTGCTGCTTACCTCGCCAAAAAGAAGGCCATCGTCCAGAAGCTGTCCGCCATTGAGTCTCTGGCTGGTGTCGAGATTCTCTGCTCTGACAAGACCGGTACCCTCACCAAGAACAAGCTCTCTCTTGCCGAGCCCTACACCGTCGCCGGTGTTGACCCCGAGGACCTCATGCTTACTGCTTGCTTGGCCGCTTCCCGCAAGAAGAAGGGTATGGACGCCATCGACAAGGCTTTCTTGAAGTCGCTCCGCTACTACCCCCGCGCCAAGTCTGTCCTGTCCAAGTACAAGGTCATTGAGTTCTTCCCCTTCGACCCCGTCTCCAAGAAGGTCACTGCCCTCGTCGAGTCCCCCGCTGGTGAGCGCATTACCTGCGTCAAGGGTGCTCCCCTTTTCGTCCTCAAGACCGTCGAGCAGGACCACGAGATCCCCGAGGAGATTGACCAGGCCTACAAGAACAAGGTTGCTGAGTTCGCCACCCGTGGCTTCCGCTCTCTCGGTGTTGCCCGCAAGCGTGGTGACCACGGTGCCTGGGAGATTCTCGGAATCATGCCCTGCTCTGACCCCCCTCGTCACGACACTGCCCGCACTGTTAACGAGGCCAAGTCTCTCGGTCTGTCCATCAAGATGTTGACTGGTGACGCCGTCGGTATCGCTCGTGAGACTTCCCGCCAGCTCGGTCTCGGCACCAACATCTACAACGCTGAGCGTCTCGGTCTCGGTGGCGGTGGTGACATGCCCGGTTCCGAGGTCTACGATTTCGTTGAGGCTGCCGATGGTTTCGCCGAGGTCTTCCCCCAGCACAAGTACAACGTCGTCGAGATTCTTCAGCAGCGTGGCTACCTCGTTGCCATGACTGGTGACGGTGTCAACGATGCCCCCTCGCTGAAGAAGGCCGACACTGGTATCGCCGTCGAGGGTGCCTCCGATGCCGCCCGCTCCGCTGCCGACATTGTCTTCCTTGCCCCCGGTCTTGGTGCCATCATCGACGCCCTCAAGACTTCCCGCCAGATTTTCCACCGCATGTACGCCTACGTCGTCTACCGTATCGCTCTGTCCATCCACTTGGAGATCTACCTTGGTCTGTGGATTGCCATCCTCAACCGTTCCCTGAACATTGAGTTGGTTGTCTTCATTGCCATTTTCGCCGATATCGCCACCCTGGCCATTGCCTACGACAACGCCCCCTTCTCCAAGTCCCCCGTCAAGTGGAACCTGCCCAAGCTCTGGGGTATGTCCGTCCTCCTCGGTATCGTCCTTGCCGTCGGTACCTGGATTACTGTCACCACCATGTACGCCCACCCCAACGGTGGTATCATCCAGAACTTCGGTAACCTCGACGAGGTTGTCTTCCTTGAGGTCTCCCTTACCGAGAACTGGCTCATCTTCATCACCCGTGCCAACGGTCCCTTCTGGTCTTCCATCCCCTCGTGGCAGCTGTCTGGCGCCATCTTGGTCGTCGATATCCTTGCCACCTGCTTCTGTATCTGGGGTTTCTTCGAGGGTGGTCAGCAGACCTCCATTGTTGCCGTCGTCCGTATCTGGATTTTCTCATTCGGTGTCTTCTGCGTCTGCGCTGGTGTATACTACATGCTCCAGGACAGCACCGGTTTCGACAACCTGATGCACGGCAAGTCCCCCAAGGGTAACCAGAAGCAGCGCTCGCTCGAGGACTTTGGTAAGTTTTATATCCCCCAATCTACCCCACAGTATGTGTCTTGTTACAGAACAGCGGCTAACCGTTTCATCAGTCGTCTCCCTGCAGCGTGTCTCCACCCAGCACGAGAAGTCGCAGTAAAGAGGAATCTCTTGGCAGAGTCGGGCTTGACTACGACGCTACTTGCGCCGTTACAATGCTCCGTCGACTCCGCGGGATGATCTCCCTGGGCCTGTTGAATCTGGCCCCTATTGAGACCGGAGGAGACGTGGACTTGTGCCCACGAAATTCATCTTTCTCTATGTTTAAAATTGTACGATGAACTTCATCGGTAATTACTGTGATCGAGTTGGAGCGAGAGAGGAGGGGTATACCCTAGTGCGATGATAGACCTAATACAAATCGTTAAATCAAGCAACACTGCTTCCCATTCATCGGTTATAGATGTGTACATGGTAGTCGACGTTTTTGGCGTGCTAGTGTCGTAGTCTTTTGCTCTATCCTCAACATGGTCTGCTGGCCCAATCCTCCAAAGATGCACCCACTTGGACGTGTATGTGGGACAGCACTTTTCATCAAGAGGTTGTGGTTTTTTTTTTGGAGCAATGTTTTGAATTATCTAGTCACGTGTTCTACCTCACTGGGGCACGACGACGTCCTTGGAAGTATCCAGCTCCTCGTGTCTTCTCAGGTCCATGGGGCGGTCGAGCAATGGCACAACATAGGGATCAAATGTCTTCCAGTAAGGGTTCTCGAGGTGGTACTTTTGGCTCTGCATGGGGAGGGGATAACGGATCAGCGAGTCTGTCAAGCATAGGACGTCTGAAAGTGAAGGGAGGGGAGTGCTGGTGTATGGGCTTCTTACATATTCCGTCTCGAAGCGCTCGACAATGGTGAAGGACCTGGGGTCGTGGACGTCCTGCATGACGAACCAGCTGACGGTCTCGCGGTCCTTTGAGTAGACGCGCGAGGCCTCGATGAGCTTTGCCTTTATGCGTTCGACCGAGTCCGGGTGGTCGTTTGCGTGGAGGTGGACGGTGAGGGTGTAGACCATGTTGGGCTTCTTGGTGAGGTAGGTTGGTAGGTATGTATGATGTCGGAGGTAGGGTTATGGAGGGCAATTGCTTCGAGGGGAGCTTTCGAGGTTCGTGTGGTGATGATGCTTGGAAGGATGTTGAGAGGGAGAGGGAGATGGAGCTTGGAGGGGGTAGCTATCTGGATTTGGGAGGTGAGGGGTTGGAGGGGCAAGGTTTTGGAGGGGGGGGGGGGCTGCAGCTGGCTGGAGCTGGAGCTGATGGGGCCTTTTGAGTGGAGAGAGAGGTGCTGTTAGTACCGCATGGAGATCCGTACTTATCGTTGAACATTGCGAAGCTTTGTCGAGCGTGTGGTGGACGTTGGATTTGGGTGCTTGGTTTTGTCTATAATTGGCTGTGCCAATTGCTTGCTGTTGAGGTAAGGGCATTCGCTCAGTCGGCGTTGTTGAGGGGGTTTAGCGACTTCACGATGGTTCAGGTTCAGGTTCAATTGGATACGAGGCGATGTCATTTAGAGGTCACGGTTACAGTACATGAAGAGAAACTCAATCGACACCGTGAAAAGACTGTCTAGTGAGATTGAGATATTCCCGGCTGGATTCAACTGCGGTATGCTTATTACTGCTCCGTCCCTCCTGATGGAGTCTACATAGAGGCAAGGTATGGGCCCGTATAGCACCAGTCAATGGAACGCTGCTGGAAAACCTTTGCCATCGCTGAGCACAGCAACTAATACGGCACCGAGCCAGCTAATACGCGGTTTATCGGGCTACAATGCGAACAGCTTCCTCCCCCCTCAATCGGAGGAGCCGTCAAGGCAGGCAGGGTCAGGTACCTTAGTTCAGCGCCCGACACGCATACTATCAAGGCCAAGCTTTTTCTTATGGTGATGGTACATTGGATAGAACATCTTGGGCTAAGGTATTCTGCATACTATGATATGGTGTCGAAAATTGCCAAGTCATCGGTTCAGCCGTTATTTTCGCCGGGGGCTACAAGCTCGACCACGTACTTCCAGGCTGCATGTGTTGGAGTGCCCGAGGAGCTTGACGCCGGCCGACGATTCCAGCGATTGATGGGTCAGGGCAGCCGCGGACATATACAACCTGAGGTAATAGTGAAGCTATCTCACCTTAGCGTCGAATCTCGCTGTAAATTTCTGCCCTTTTACCAGTGGTGGCAGACGCGATGGGTGCGTGTGGTGGTGGTGGGTGAAGGTTGAGGCATTGGATCGGTCGTCCCCGCACACGGCGGCGGCGGCATTTGGGAGGGTGGGGTGTTCGAATCTAGCGCCCTAGCTTGCCTTAAGTCCACTGCGTCTTCAGTGATTACACCGCAGAATCAGCGAGGGTAGTGGCCTCTATCATGCGGTGTGACACACCAAACGACCTGACGCTGCCACTATTAGAGGATGGAAGGAACGGCATGTTCACCGCGAAAGTGGGTTCCTACTGCCGGCTCCGGGCAACAAACGCACACCTCCCACCCCCCACTCTTTTCCATCTTTTTCTTTTTTTTTTTTTTCCCTTTGCTTCCGCCCTCCATTCCGCCTGCTTGCTGTCGGGGAAAGAAGCTGCTTCACAACGATACTCGGCGCCACCGACGCCATCGTCAACCCTTGACCCCATCCCACACAACCAACCAAGCCCATCACCAACTCGCAATATCCAATCCTCTTTGTCATCGTCACGACGATACGATATCGTACCGGTGTTTCTCATGCATAATTCCATCCCGCATATCTGAACCACCCCCCTCCCCGGACCATCCACATGTGCCCCCCAACACACGTGCAGATTGACCACTTACACCCACTCCCGCCACGAACAAAGCACACCATCCCGCAAGCAGGAGCATCGTCCACAGTGTTTTTGGATAGTCAATTCGACTGTGTCTTGAGCCTTGTCTAGATCTCGAGTCCGAGACGGAGCTAGTGCCGATAATTCTTCTTCATCCTTTTCCCCTTTGGGACAACCCATCTTCCAAATATCTGAGATTCCTTGGCCTTTCCAACCACCTCGAGGCTCAACCTCTCATCTTGTTAGACCCCTACCCAAGACAGGCTTTCTGTTGTTGCCTCGGAGCCGAGACCGCGCAGCCATCGCGGCGGACCGAACCCCGGACAGAAAATCATCATGGCACCTCAGCCGCGGATGCAAATCCCCGGGTATTACTACGGTACTACTCACACGCCCCTCCCAAGTCTTACACCACTATACTCTGTCTTAGTCCTTTCAACCTCCTTTGACCACTGAGTCTGTCCTTCACTTGAACCGTACCTTCATGAACCAGCCGGCTAATTTGGGGAAAATCCCATTCTAGATGAGGAAAAGGGCAAATATTTCAAAATCGAAAAAGGCGCCTCAGCACCGCAGACCGCCGCCTGGTCCGCCGACAATGTCAAGCGCCGGAAGATCCAGCACCGCGAGGCCGAGGCCGTCGCCGCCCGCCGGGAGCGGCTGAAGCGGCACATTGTCCGGTCCGCCGCGCTACGGGCCCCGCTCATCGGCGGCGTCTTGGACGTCGAGCTTGGCGTGCGTCGTGAGGAGAGGGCGAGGCTGCGCGTCGATGGTGCGTTCGGCATCGATGATGTTCCTGCGGCGGCGTGGGCCCGGGGGCTCGTCGACAAGGGCGAGGTGCCGTTCGTGCCCAGCTTTGCGAGGCAGAGTTTTCCGAATATCCCTTGTTTCTATGTTGGCGGCGATGATGAAAAGACAGGGCTTGGTGTTGCGTATGCAAGTGAGTTTGAGGCACCTCCTGGATTGTGACTGCAAGTTTGTGTTCTGACTGTGATAGCTTTGGACGAGGAGACTTTGATAGGATCATATATCCCTACGGACGACAATGACAGGTGAGCTGCCAACAGATCTCTGCGGCTCAGAGCAGAAACTGATGAAAGCAGGATATCCTTTAGCACCGATGCCTCGAGCCGTCCTGAACGCCGACTGTCACATCGTCACGAGATGATAGGTTGTCCCCAGATCTCATCCATCAACTATCATCCACACTCGCATCGCATAATCGTTACATCCCGCGAGCCAAGTAACACGTGCGACATCTACCTCTTTTCCCCTCCCAAATCCGCTCCCAACGATGACCGACCTCTTTGGTTACTCGACAGAGGTAATGCCCCCCTTCCCCTCTGACCCCTTTCTTTCTAACGCAGACCACGTGTAGCAAACAACCTCCGCCACATCTCCTTCAACACAGGCCGGCGCGAAGGCGTCGTAAACCAAACAACGCCCGCGCCGCCCTCTTCCTCCTCCCTAACCTGCATCATCGGTACCTCATACGGCCTCCTGAAACTCACCTCGGACGAGCGCATTCACTGGCTCGGCCCGCCGCGCCCTCGCCCGGGCCCAGCGGAAGGCGACTTCTTCGACCAGACGTTCCTCCCCTCCAACCCAAACGTCCTCCTCGCCGGCGGCCGCAACCGCGACGTCAGGCTGATTGACCTGCGCGTGAAGTGGTCCGAGTGGGATAACATCCCCGTCGGCGCCACAGCGCACCTGCGCGCCGTGAACCCGCACCAGTTCCTCGCCGCGGGGCCGAGATCGAAGATGGCGCTGTTCGACCTCCGGTACCGCAAGACAAAGCCCAACGGGACGAGGCCGGTTGTGGAGTTCCCGGGTTTCCGGAACGAGGCGCACATGCATTTCGGGTGGGATGTTGATGTCGACTCGGGCGTTGTTGCCGCCGCGCACGATGATGGGCGGTTGGGGATGTATTCGCTGCTGTCTGGGCGGAGATTGCGGTGTCCTACTGTGGATGCCGTCAAGGCGAGGACGCCGGTCAAGAGTTGCCAGTTTCAGAAGATGCCTGGGAGGCGGCACGCGAGTTTGTTCGCGGGCGTGGGGCCGAATCTGAAGATGTTCTCGGTTGGGGCTTTGGGGGTTGATGACGAGTGCTGAGGCGCCAGAAGTGGAGTTGGATATGGCCACGAGCTCTGGGATTATTTGGTCATATGGGCACGGCCGTCGTGGTGGCCATACTGGCGCAGTCATCAGTGCGGCTATTGAATCAATCATGTTGATGGCCTCCTGAGGCGTTATTACCGATGGTTAAGGTGAGGTCAGGGGCTATCATGTCGGCGATAGAACAAACATGTCGAGCTTGGTCCATACGGTCCAGCCCAACTACCTGCAATGTAGGATACGGTATACCTTGGTGAGGAAGCTTGCTCGCCAGCTCAGGAATCCGATCTTCCTACATCAACATGAGCAGGAGATGCCAATGTCGACGAAGAGTCGGCGCCGGGTACCTTCCCAAACCCTCTATTTGTTTGCCTCTTTCACTCGATTTGATATGACCGGCTTTTGAACCACTGGGTTATATCTTTTCAGTTAGTCTTTGTCTACCTCGTAGCTTACGGAGTTCTGCTACTTGAGGTACAAATCTTCTTTGACAACCACACTTCCTTCCTCCCGGGGATCAATATGGGTTCGTTATGGATTAATTTCTGCTTCATACTTGGAAACGAGTCCTTTCTATTCCATGCTTTCATCTATCTTCATTTTCCACCTTGACCAAGTCTCAATGTGTGAAAGCCCAACAACCAGTTCTTCATCTTCAGGAAGTCGCCGGAGGAGGAGGTGTAGCAGGGTCAGGCGAGGCCGGCGCAGAGGCAGGCGAAGCCGGAGCGGCGGGTGTAGTAGCCGCAGGGGAAGAAGAAGGAGAAGCTGCCACAGGGATAGGAGGAGTCTCGGCGACAGCCGCAGTCGCAGCCGCAGCCGCAACAGGAGCAGCAGAAACAACAACGGGAACAACGTCCCTCCCATCGACGTCAACCACGACAATCAACTTGAGCCCCGTAGGTCCGCAAGCCCACTCCAACATACCGCCTAGCGCGGCCTCGGCGATGGTGTCGAGCCGGGCTTCTCTTATGACGTCTGAGATCACGGGTTTGCCACCATCACCACCGGCACAACCACCAGTTCCACAAGTGGGAACATTGACGTTGACAAAGGTTAGTTGGGGCGGACCGCCTCCCGTGATCCAAGTCTGCTGTCCGGCGGGGACGATGGCCGGATACGCAGGCTGCTGGGGGGGAAGAATTATAGGCTGCTGCTGCGTGGCAGGGTTGCCGTAGGAGTGGAGGTAGTTGACGCCGTTGGAGTATGTCATGGCCATGGGCATCGGCGGATCCATCATCGTCGGCGGCAGCAGCAGCGACTGCGGCAGCGGCTGAGGAGGCTGGACGAGCGCGGGGAATCCGACGTTGAAGGTCATTAGGTGGAGAGGAGGCTGCTGCTGCTGCCACACGGGCATCGTGACCGTGGCCATGCTGCCGCCGCTGGGACCACTGCTTCCGTCGCCGGGAATCGATACGACGCGGCCGGTGCGGGAGGTCCAGTAGAGCGTGATCTGCGCCTCGACGATGGGGTCTGCGCGGCCTAGGCGGGTGACGGAGGCGCGGACGAGGGAGAGGAGTTGGGATTTCGTGGCGGTTTGGGGGGAGAGGCGGAGGTGGAAGCTTCGGGTCCAGCCTGGCGAGAGGGAGGAGGGTGGGTTCGAGTAGATGTGTGTCTCTAGGACGATTGTGGGTTCTTGTGCCATGGTTTCTTTGGTTTTGCTCTGGAGTTTTCCGAGATGGGTAGATGGTCTCTATGTTTTGTTTGTTGGTTTCTTGTCTGTTGAGAGGGGAGAGGTCAGGGGATGGGGGGTTCGAGATGGTGGGAGACTTACCGAGGAGCGAGTGATGGCCCTTCTTTGTTGATTTTTTGTTGTGTAGAGAGGGAAGATGAAAGGACCGCTTTAGTCTAGAAAGGTTTTTGACAGTCGTGGACGGGAAAGAGTCAAGGAGGAAGTGCTTGAGAAGCAGAGAAAGGGGTTGCTCGTGGAGGCCTGTGTTCTCTACACGGATTGTGAATAAAGGGGGTTCTTGGTATAGACCGTGTGTGATTCGGCACAACTGGACTCTGAGAGCAGGACTCGCTTCCACAAGACGATCTCCTAGGTATGATTCACTAATCATACACAAAGCTGTAGATATGTGAGGAGGAAGATGAGCTTTACTGATGTGAAGATGTGTGTTTTTGATGTATGTGCTCCGATATGTGTGCTTGTCCATGTCATTGGGGAAAGTTGGTGGTGTTTTGTTGTATTTCGGCTTCAGTTGCATAGGGTCCTTATTGTTGAATTGCCTGCTTCTTCTTGAGGACAGACGTATGATCAGCATATGATTTCTGAATGTTGAGATTTACCGGTCTATCATGAGTCCAAGTTCGCTCTTGGTGTGTGTGCGTCTCAAACTGTTTTGTATGTAATATTAATGTAGTTGCCTCTGAAAGAACAACAAGACACGGGCCCGCGATATTGCGGCATGTAGAAACGACAATGTAGAAGACGAAGGACCGGTGGGAAAGAAATAGGGGCAAGCGAAACCGACCTATCATACCCTTCGATCTTGACTATTCGATGGGGACGGCGTCTATTAAAGCATGAGAAGAGGAGAAGTGAAACCTCGTCGAGCGACTGCCCATGAAAACAACACCACCACCCCCTGAATTCGCGAGGATCCATACCAGAAGCCTCTGTCAAATCATGAATCTCAGCCGCTACGGCAGTCATACCCGAAAAGTACAGGGGTACGAACACAATATCAGCACGAAGAAAGGTAATAAGAGCTACGAATGATGAACGTCTCCCATAGATTGGGCAACTGTGTACATGTGGAAGATAAGAATGCCGTGTTGATTTTTCCAATCCACCTCCCATACGCCGCCATCTGTATCCCCCCTTCCTAACCCTAAACCCTTGGTGAGATACAAAAGGTAAGCCAAGCAATATGGCTTTACTCATGATGACTACTGTCAAAGCTACGCCATATCGGTGATATATACCTCACGTGAACGCCACCGGCAAGAAACCATTTCCCCTCCTTTCCCTTATAAAGTCTCGAAAGACCCCTATATACCGAGTGAAAAGTGCAAAGAGAGTGAGCAGGATAATCCTTAAGACGGAGAAGTAATCTCTCGTCGACTCATATTTTTCCACCAAAAGACGCACAACGTAACCTGAGTCCCGCAAGCCGAACCAGCTCACTCCTTCAAATTATACGTGTCCCTCAGCTTAGGAAACGTCTGGTTAAACGCCTGGCCCAACGTCCAATTCTCCAGCCTCCGCAGGTGCCGCTCGAACACGGGGTTGATCAGCACCTCGTCCGACTCCGGCACCTGCAGCAGCGTATCCGTCTCCTCGTACGGCCAGTTGAGGCTCAGCGTCGTGGTGAAGGGCACGAAGAAGTTGTCAAAGAGGTACTCGCGCGGGTTGTAGTCGCGGCACAGCTTGTCGCGCATCGCGGGGAAGGGGACGTGGTCGATCCAGGCCGGGTGCTCGGTGAGGAGCTGCGCGGGGCGGGGGCGCGCCCACTCGGGCAGGCGGTCGTAGTTTTCCCGGGTGGGGGAGATCTGCCAGCGCATGATGAGGAACATGATGTAGAGGACGGCGACGCGCTGGGGGAGGGCGGAGAGGTCGGGGAAGGTGGCGAGGATGTCGGTGAAGACTTTGGAGAGCGGGTGGGAGTATTTGCTGTTGGCCGGGTTGAGGAGGGAGAGGACGCTGGGGTAGCGCGGGCCGATGATCTCGTGGGTGGAGAGGCCGTCTGCGGCGCGTTGGCGGCGCTCGTGGAGGAAGTCGAGGAGGAGGCTGTCGAGGGGGCAGGTTGGGCCGCAGTTTTTTACTTCGGCTGCGTGGTGGCCCAGGGCTCGGGATTCTGGAGGAGCGGAGGATGACGGTTGGTGTTGTTGCTGTTGTTGTTGCCCTTGCGACTGCTGCTGGGGATAGTCGACCTGTGACCGCGGGGTGTGGACGGTCGGTCCGCTGAGGGACGGGCTCCGGCTGTGTGTGACGGGGCCGACGCCGGTCCAGTCGTGCTTCATGGGCACGTGGTTGTAGCTCGGCGTGTCCTGGGCGCCGTTGACGCCGCTCTGGATCTTGCCGACGCGGGCGTTCTGGTCGAGGAGGAGGAAGTCTAGACCGAGGCGCTCCGGGCCGAGGTCGAGGCCGTGGCGGAGCCCTTGACGCTGCTGGTCGAGCATCTTGCTCGCGGCGTACATGTGGTTCGGGGGGGAGAGGTCCGAGACGGGACCTCCGCCTCCACCGCCGCTGCCGTTGGGCGTCGTTTGCCAGCCGGCGGTCGGGTCGATGGAGGCCGGGGAGGCCGCGCTGTTGGGCGTCGAGGCATTGTGTGCCGAGATGGGCCCGTTGTGCTGGTGGACGTGAGAGTAGCTGCCGCTGGGGGATGGGAAGACGGCAGGGTGCGGGTCTGCCGGCGGCGGTGGTGCTGTGTTTGATATGGGTGTTAGTCAAAGATACCCATACGTCCACGAGCATTACGGATTCACATAAGATGTGAACACGAGGAAGGGACTTACGTTGGCTCGGTGGAGAAGCAGAGATGAGAGGCTGGATAGAGGCGATGAAGGTGGCCAGACGGCGCTTCAGGTCCGCGTTCTCGGCCTCGACGGCCTCCTTTGCCCTCTGGACGGCCTGCAGCTCCTGGTAGGGCTGCTGGGAGGTCAGCTCCTGGATACGGCGCTCCAGGGTCTCGATCTGGTTCTTTGTGCGCTCGCGGATGGCTCGCTGGGCTTCCCTGTCTGATCGGGGCCGATGGGAACTTCGGTTAGCGGGTGTGTCGTCATCGAGGTGGGAAAGAGGGGAGGAGGAGCCAGTCAATGTTGTGGAGAAGGATGTATGTGTGCGAGGGTGGTGTGCAGTGAGTGAACAGGGGGTTGGTGAGGACGACAGCGAGCACTAGTTTCGAAGGAATGCTGGAAATGGGACGGAAGGTGAAAATCACGGAGTACGAGAAGTCGTGTGTGCAGTGAGGCATGATGTGAGTGGGTGGGTGGGTGAGCAAGAGAAGTTTGTGCTCACCGTTGGCGCGCTTCTTGGCAAGTTGCTCCGGCGTCAGGTTGGCGACGCCTCTGGAGCCAGGACCGACACGGCGTTTCTTGTTTGAATCGCCGGGTGGTTGAGAAGCGGGCGACGTGCCGGCGCCGGCCGGTGTAACAACTTCGGCATTCCCGGGGCCAGCCGGGCTTGGGTGGTCCGGAGCACTACGCTTATTATTACTGTAATTCAGGCCGGGGGTCACCGATGAAGCCACGGAGCCGGCGGGACTTGGGTGGTTGACGGCATCGGAGGCCATGGGGATTTGTAAGGCCAGCGTGGGGGGCGGACGCGGAAGCGGAGGCGGGCCGGTATGGCAGGGAAAAAGGGAGAGGGGAGGGGGGAGGTCGGTGTCGGTGCCGCGTCACCGGGTGTCCACCTCAGGCCAGACTCGGCTCGGTCAGAGAGCCGGTGCTGCCCGTGATCGAGCGGCAGCGGGCGAGAGGCATAGGCCTATCCGTACCGTACTACCGTCAAGTGTGTGGATCAGCACGGAGTGGAATATGGGCGGAGTAGCTGTCCGGGAATCCGGGATTGGCAAGGTGATGGTCGGGCCCCTTGCTGGTTTCTTCTGCGGCCGGGCCCCTGCTTGCTTTCGGGGCCTCTTTTTCTTTCTTTGGGAAGCCCGTTAGACTCTTGGAGCATTTGCCGATTGCCGGTCCGGTCCAGTTCTCGTCCTCTTTCTGTTAGTACAAGGGGTTGAGCGGCAGAATGACAGGTGACAGGCCTCCTGGGGAGGGACCAGCAATGCAGCGACAGCGGAGCTCTGGGCAGCAGGAGAATTTTTTTGGTGGTACGCGAGAAGGGGGATGGTATGATTCTTTTCGCGGTCGGGGGGATCGGGTAACCGTACGGATAGGTTGTGCCTTGGAAAAGGCTTGGAGAGGGGGACGGGGAACAGGCGAATGGGAGGGAGAGATAATGAATCATTCAGATGTTGCTGGACGGCTTCGGAGGGTCGAGATCCCGAGTCATGAGTGGCTCAGTCGACTGTGAAGAATGGAGCTAAGCCTCGGGCATTTCTACTGCAGACAAGGGTGTGTGGTGTTCACAGTTTCCGGCGGGATGCAGCTTTGTGTTGAAGGATTCCCAAAGTTTTGGTTTTGTTCGTTTTTGTTCTGTTTGGAAACCCGAACAGCGAGAGAGGCTGCAAGTCTGCAGTTTGTGCTCGTGATACCGTGCTCCGTAGACGTGTAGCTGAAGGAAACATGAGACCAAGAGGAGGAGAAGTAGAAACTCAAATTGGATGCATTCGTTGGAATAAAGTTTACAGTTTGCGGGCGGAGAGGCTGACCTGCTGCTGCTGCTGCTGTCTCGAAGCGGTAAAATTCTCCATTACGTGTGTTCTAAATTTCAGAGTGCACAAACTTACGGATGAATTGGTTGAAAATGCACAAGTCATCCATGCATAGGTACAGATTCTCAAGTTGTCCGGGCGGTATATTTTGACCTAGAGAGAATACCCTCCATTTTGTGCATCAAGTGCAGCACATGAGGGGACTCTTATGCACAGACCCGTCCGATATATGCAACTTGTGAAGGCCCTCAAGTTCGCGCTGCTTCGACGGTCTGGACTCGGGATTCTGGACTCCCAGAGGCTGACGCTCTACTACCATGCATGCGCCACCACAAGACTCACTATCCTCGAGCGCTGTTTTCCTGATTTCACATGTTGGATAGTCATCGACAAAGAGACCCCAATGATCGAGAACGACAAGTGCATTGTAGACTCGCGAAACATATCACATGCAATGCTGCTTTGAGACTGCTCCATACTTGTAATAAGCCTGTAGATAGGCGTAACATGTAAACCTGCGCCAAAGTGGGTATCCATTGAAAGAAAGGAAAGAAGAACGGAAAGGAAACTGTCATCGTGATCATCAGCCTCGTCAGTACCCAAAGCCTTCCCCCTCTTCTCCCTCAAGCCTTCATCGCCTCCACGAACAACTCCCGCATCCCCTTGAGCAGCACCGCCAGCTCCCTCGTCTCGTTAAGCTGGTCCAGCACCCGCTCCACCCTCTCCCGCTCCAGCTTGGGCCGGCAGTGCCTGACGTCGTAGTCCCGGCTCGCCGTGTTGAGCTCGAACCACGCCTCCCGCTCCCAGTCCTGGTCGTCGACGTACGTGTAGATGAACTTGAGCCGGTCGTCCTTGCCCGCGCCCTCGATCCGCAGACCCAGGTTCTGCTGCCAGAACTCGAGCTCGGGCACGTTGAAGCGCGACTGCGCCTCGAGCTGCTTCGCGTGCGCCCGCTGCGCCGCCAGCCGGGCGTCAATCTCCTTTTGCGTCTCCTCGATCTGCTTCTTGAGCGCGTCCCGCGTCGCCAGGTGCTTGTCGCGCTCTTCCGAGAGCTGCGCGATCGCCGCCTGCATCTCGCGCGTCTCGGCCTTTTCTTTGGCCACGGTTTGTTGGTGGGTGCTCGTCTTGAGTTGCAGGATTTCAATGTCCTTCTTCTTCATGCGCTGGTCCTCTGCGGGTCACAGGATATGTTAGCATTTATTTTCTTGCCCGATTCGCCGCTTTTATCATATCTCGAGTTCGATTTTGTGCGCGCCCTCCCCCTTCGCAACGTACCTTGTAGTTCTGCCACGTTCATGCGGAATTCGTTTCGCTCCTCCAACACGCGCTTGCGACCCTGTTCGATAAAGGCGTCAAACTTTGAGGTGAACTTGGTCATGCGATCGCGAAGCTCTTCGAAGCCAAAGTTGGCGTTTGGCAGCGTCTCGGCGACGGACGGGGTCGCCATCAGCGACTGGCGGTTGATGCTGGCGGACAGCGACGATTCTCGAAATGCGGAAGACATGATGGGTGATTTTGTTTCGGGGTGGCGATTTCGCTGTTCGGTTTTGCTGGGAAGTTGTACCCGTCTGTGATTGATGGTTTACTGTGACTATCGCAATTGCATGTGACGTGTGGCAGGAAGGCAGGCGATGGTGGGATAAATTGGTTGTGGTCGTAATCTTTAGGTGTTTATGCATCGCGTTGCTATGTCAACAATCTCATCGCTGAAAATAAGGCTGATGACTAAGGGAATGTGCTGACTCAGCCATGTCTTCGCCAGCGTCTGTCACATCCCATCGATTTACAGAGCACCATCCAACAATGGCTGTTATTCATTATGACTACATTGGCATATTTTTTTGCAAGATCTTCTTCTATTGCATTATATGATAATTATCTCTGTCCTTCGATTTGCCTTATCGCGAAAAGTCGTCTGTTTTTCCGTCACTGATCACAAAAAGTACTACTGATGACATACAGCCGTCAATAGAGGATGTATGTATCAGGCGGACGACTAACCGCCATGATTAGTATGGACTATCAGTCCTGTCGCTCACTCGGGAGTTACTTTAGCCTATCAACCTAGGCTAGAGCATAGAGTATGGGCCGGGAAAAGGATCATAAAGCCTACGTCGTCCAAGAGTGCATCCAACGCTGAGAGGCCATGTCTCGGGAAGATGGAATTGAAATCCTTTGATCCAAGAGTTCCTGCACCCCTGACCAGCGGTACAAGTGTATCAATATGGTCTGCTATACGATTCTCCCCTTCCTATCGGCAAACACGCCAGTTGATCCACCTCAGAATCCCAGATGGAAGAAGGCAAGCACCGTCTCGGAATGTGCCAAGAGCCAGACTTGTTGATTCAGATACACTGCTTTCAAGAGATCTAAAGATTCCACTTCAGTTTTGCTATTCACACTCTACTTCTTGAGATATCACATATCGAGTGCCCCAGAGTGTACACTCCTCTTATCTCGGATCTCTAGAGCATATTCCAAATATGTACATGAAGTATCAAGCATCTACGGACCAGAAAGCTTTAAGTCTTGTAGAACTCTCTTCCTTACCCAGCAGTGTCACGGACATTCATTCACTGCGTCATCTGGGCACAAAGCTTTCTCACCTTCTTCCCCTTGAAGAACAAGACAACCCCCAGCAAGCAGAACGCCGCACTCACAGCAGCATATATACCAAACGTCTTGACCGGCCCAATGTTGGCAATATATGTCGTCGTGTGTTTGCTGAGCCCAAAACCCACTAACCCACGCGTCACCGGCAGTGCGACGAGGATAGCGCCCGCGAAGCTCGGGTGGCTATCGATGAGATACGCCGTCCCGACCGTGCTGACGCCCATCAGCACGATGAGGTAGCCGTCGACGACGGAGACGATGGCCATCCAGTGATACCGCTCCGGGTTCTTGAGCACGTACCCGTACAGTACAGTGAGGATCAGAGCCGTCACCATGGGCAGGATCCAGGCGATGAGTCGCTTCTCCGGCTCGTGAACGCCGTGGTTGCGACGCGCCGAGGAGCGGATGACGTAGTCGCTCAGCCAGCCGATGAGGGGCACGCAGAGGAGTGCAATGAGGACCTGGCCCAGCTGGATGAGGGATACCGATGTGTTGGCCCAGTTGTAGGGGGGGTTGACGAGGACTTCTGCGTACGTCATCTGGATCGAGACGTCGATGCCTTGGAAGAGCCCGTTGTTTATGGCGACCCAGAGGACGTGGGGGAATAGAAAGACCTGGCCTATTTGTTTGAGGCAGAGCCAACATCGGGACCAGGTTGGCTTGTGCACGAAGACGCGCAGGTTCGAGGTGAAGGTGCGTTCCTTGAAGTGTTGCAGGTCGGCGGCGGGTCTCTCGTCTACTGTTGCGTACTTTGGCCCGGGCGATCGGCTTCTGGTGATGGTGTTCGGACCGGTGTTTTGTACTGCTGGTAAGAGGTTGCTCCTGTCGGTCGGGTGGCTTCCCATGAACGCCTCGATCGGCCGGTCATATGCGGTTTCGGGGACGAAAAAGAAGGTGAGAATCATGGCTAGTCCCGAGAGGCCTGCGAAGAGCCAGTACCAAGATCTCCAGCCCAGAGCATCAGCCATGTACGAGGATGCGATTACGAGACTGGAGTTGAGAAGGACTTCGGCAGAGGCATAAATCTGAAATACGCGTGCCCTTTGATGGAGAAAGTAGATATCCTGAAGTAAACGAGAGTCAGAATATCTCACACCAGACTCGCTGTCCAAAGAGCTCGTACCTGCAGAATAAGCAGAGCCAAGGCCTGACACTGGGCTGCAGCAAATGCTGCGACCATCCGCCCGCCTAGATGCCAGTAATAGTTGCGATTCGTTGCGCAGAGGACGGCGGCGAGGAAGAGAAGCACGTTTGATGCCAAGATGACGGGGCGACGGCCTATTGCCACGGCGATTGGCATCGACACGAGATTTCCGAGACCAAGGAAGAGATTCGGAAATGTGAAGAGATTTGAGATCTGATCCGGCGTAATTCCGTCACGTTGGTAGTCGGGCATGATGAACACAATGAGTGCGGATAGTGCGGTGATGAGGCACAGACCAGATATTGCGTCTGCGCGCATCTCGTGTAAGTCAAATCATTTCCCTCACATTACGATACCTAGTCGAAGTTCATGATGACTTACACAGGACAATAATGCCTATGATGAGTTGTTTGTGCCATTTTGGCAGGTTCAGAGGGTCTGCATCTTTTGTGAGTCGAGTACTTGAGACCAACATGAGAGAAGCAGATCATCACCATACCTCTGGGGTCCGCGCTCGGCGTGGGAATGAGAACCACTTGGCCTCCTACGGTGAGAGTAGCCGTCCCGTCAAAGAATTTAGGCCGCATCTCGTCCAATTTTGGCGTGCTCGTGACAGTGTTACCATCGTTGCCCTTTTCATAATTCTTTTCCACGTCCACGTCCCCCGCACGCGGCTCGGCCGAGTCTGGCACTTTCTCTGAGGCGTCCATCTTTGGTAAGAGTCCGAGGGGAGAGCCCGGGCCAACACTATATCTGAAGTGGATCACTTTTATTTCCGCTTTAGGAAGGAGGCCGATATCCACCCGGATCCTATTCTGAGGTTGTCGCAACGTCGTACGAAGAGAGTGTCGAGCTGGTTTGGTGGTGAGTACGCATAAACCAACTTCTTTCCTCTTGCAGTGGGAGATCGTGTCATCTTTATTGTTTTGATTTCTGAACCTCAAGTACAACTGCCGCCTCACCGTTTCCTATCCCCCGCATCAGGGTTGCTCTCGTCGTCTGATAGAAACCCGCCGTTTCTGAGGGGTCGGTTTGACGTTTCCTTTCATGAGTGAGAGATCCAAGTCTAGTAAAAAGTCTGTACGGCGTAGTCAGCCAAAGTATGAATGCGCGCTATACAACCCTTACTGTCGAGGCGGCGGGACATCGCTCACCTCGACGGTTACACGATGGCTAGGACATGGTCTCCAGATTTGTACTCGACATGTGAAGCGCCAGGCGCAATGTTTGGTCGACTTATGCAATGCTACGCTGCCGTAATGAAACCACTTCACAAGCTAGAATTTAAAGTTCGTACGCAACACTGAGGGGCCAATCTGATACGCCTCTCAACGCCAAGGGTCCTCCATGAAGCCGAACAGTCCGGACTTCGTTCAGACTCTCTGCAAGATGGGATTGTCCCTACTTGCCATCCCCCTTTCCGATGTTCTTACATTCGGCATAGACAAGACAAAGCAGTGAGCAGCGGTGACAACGTATCGTGTTTCTCCTGCCTGAGTCTGCCGTATACAAGATTCTGGCCGAACCCAGTTTGCATACTTTCCCGGCCAAACCATCGCCGATTGTCAAAAGGCAAAGATCAGCAAACTCTTGCGACATTGACGGGGCTCTACGTCACGTCCGAACGGCCTGCCCAACAACGCGAAGAAAGTATGTCGTCAAACCAGCTCGGCGCCGTGCAAGGCTCGCAACCTGCCGAAAAACAAGCCGTCGAGAGTTCAGAATGGCGGTCTTCGGACGACAAAACCCCAGAGGAAGTCACCTGCTTCCTAACGGAAGAGCATGAGGATGTGGATTTGGATTTGGATGCGGAAGCAACTGCCGATCAACGCCTCGCGCCAAAGACGTCCCAACTAGAAAAGCGTGAACCCTTCGACCCGGTCTTGTGGTCGTCTAAGAAGAAGTGGACGCACGTCTTGGTGGTAGCGTTCATCACCTGCGTCACGTAAGTTGGCTAAACCTACCCTGCCCGCATGGTTGACATGCAGCGGCGCATTTTCTTGAGAAGAGGCTTTTCGCCGCCGCCGCTACCGCGAAGAAAACTAAAGAAGCCAAAAAAACGCTAACGACAACGGCGCTTTTTCCCACTCCAGACCCTTGGCTTCTGCAGTCTATACCCCCGCGTTGGACCAGGTGATTGGCGACTTCAATATCGAGGACAACCCCACGCTAGCGGACCTGACGGTCTCGGCCTACGTCCTCGGCTTCTCCGCCGGACCGCTGCTCCTCGCGCCGCTGAGCGAGACGTTTGGCAAGAAGCCCGTCTATCAGGTCTGCAATGTGGTCCTGCTCGCGTGCAACTTGGCCTGCATGGTCGCGCCGTCGGCCGAGTGGCTCATTGTCTTCCGGTTTCTGGCGGGATGTGCCGGCGCGAGCCCGATTACCCAGGGCACCGGGACGGCGACGGACGTCATGACCAAGGAAAAGCGTGCGCGCGCCATGTCGGTTATGGCGTTTGGGAGTGTTTGCAGTCCTGCGGTTGGGTCGGCCCTCGGGGGCGCGATTGCCCAGGCTTGGGGATGGAGAGGTTGCTTTGGGTTTCTTGCTGTGATGGTAAGCTACCTTCTTTCCTAACGCCGTCTTCGTGAGCATCGTTCCAGAGAGGGAAATGGCGTCCTGGGAGGTTTCGATGAGGCCTAGGGGCTGCGTTTTGAGTCTCCAACGACGTTTGTGAGTCCTGAGTGACATGCTGACAAGTGAGACAGGGCTTGATCAGCACTCTTCTGACTTATCAGTTCATGTGCGAGACATATCTCCCGGTCTTGCGGCGAAAGTACGCCGTGTTAGCCAGTCCCGATGACCTCGAGATGGAAATAAGCGATGAGAAAGCCATGGCTCCGAAGCAGTCTCTCAGAAAGCTGCTCTTCAAGGCCGCAATCCGCCCATTCTCTCTCATTTTGGAGCCGAGCATCCTGCCGGCTATCCTGGTAACGTCGTTCTTCTACGGCCTCCAGGTGTGGTTGTACATTGACGTTCCGATGACATACAAGGCAGTGTACTCCTTCAACACCGCAGAAGCAGGCCTAGCATTCGCGGGCATGGGGGTTGGCATGTTCACCGGCCTTCTCATCTTTGGGTTCCTCACCGACGTCGTCGTGAAGAGGTTAGCACGCGACGGTGAAAGGCTGCCCGAGCACCGGCTCCCACTTCTCAACCTGGCAGCCATTCTTGTCGTGGTCGGTCTGATCATCTACAACCTGGCTGCCAGGCCTGGGGTGTCCTACCTGGTGCCCCTGCTTGGAAACTATCTTATTGGCAGTGGATTGTTTGCCATCACTGTGAGTTCCCATATTCCAGTTCCAGGACGGATACTCCGTAGGTAGTCAGATATCTGGCCGGAGACCGAGCATCGGGGGCACGGAAACCGAGGCCACCTGCGAGAAGATCCAACGACGACTGACTTGAGCCTTGTTTGTAGATGACTTCGGCTGTGTACATTATCGACCTGTCACCGCAACACGCTGTTGCGTCAAGCGCGTCGCTTGCACTTTTACGATACCCCTCTGGAGCGTTGTTCCCCCTTTTAGAGCATGCTTTTGAATCTTTCACCAGCAACAGTAGCGCCAAGTGGCTCATCACGGCGGCGTCTGTCTCCACCATCCCACCTGTGGTTTGGCTCCAGTACAACTGCGAGCGATTCCGGGCGAGACTCCGGGACTCATTGTGAGAAGTGGTGTATTATTGATACCTGTTGAACCTGTACCATTTAACAAATGATACCCTTGCGAGAAGCTTTTTATGCTTGGATGTCAGCTTTATTGGAAAGAATATTCTTATAAACGATAGATGTTTGTCTAGGCTTGGTTAGACTTTGGATCTCGAAACATGTCCTTTGGGCACTAGAAATAGAAAATGGTAGATAAGGAAGTTGGTTCTTAGAAACGAACAAACGGCATCTCAATTTCGCGGACTACATGTCAAAATGGGGGGATGTTGAGAGTTAGGTAAGGTTATGAAAAGGTTACTTAGTAAAGGTTGGGTAGAAGAACGGTTATGGCCCTATCTCCAGTATCTCCATAGAAGCATATGCGAGTCACGTCACTGCCTTACATAAGCCATCGCGCAAACTTGGAGCCATCTGTCTGCTCCATCCGAGCGGCGAGGAACCAATGGCATCGACACTATTCGTTTGGGTGACGGCAGCCCGTGGAACTGGATTACGCTAATCCCAAATGAAACCAATTATATCGTCACGCGGCTCGTACATCAAGCTGGGAAATAGGTCGACCAACGCTTTCCCCACGTGTTGCAGCCACCAGGAAATCGCGGGATGCTATTCAAGTAGCTTAAACACCATTTCGACCCTTTGAACCAGCTTCGCGATACCGATACCAATCGCCCGATAAGAAGTCGCACGCGACCCTTCTGCCACCATACCGCCCCCAGCAGATCTCCGTAATCCCTCCTCTACCCACCAAGCAGGCACTGCAAGCCCACAAGTCCTGATTGACCTCGATAAACCTTCTACAGGCCTTCGGGAACGGGGAGGGAGCTCCACCAACAGTAGCAGCAACTCCACCGTTGCTCAGGCTGAGAGCTACGAGCTTGCCGACTACAAAAACATCTCCGCTCAGAAGGCCGCAAAGGACCTCGAAGCCCGACGAGAAGAGAAAAAACTTTGGAAGAGAAGGTGGCTCGACGAGCAGGACGATATGAAGTTCTCACACAGCATCCAGTTTAATGCTGTCCCGGATTGGAGCAGTCATTACATCGCCTATAGCAACCTAAAGAAACTGTGAGTACTCAATGCCTACTCTGGCTGCGCCGTGTCCTTAAGACCTTAGTAGCTAACTAGATCTGCGTTGCAGTATCTACCAACTCGAGAAGACAGTCCACCAAACCTCCTCAGGTGACGCCGAATCAAGACCTCTTATCCGAAACGAAGAACCCGAAGATGTGTTTAGCCGTGCGCTCGGTGTAGAATTGGAGAAGATTTGCTCCTTCTACGTGTCCAAGGAAGGCGAGCTCCTCGACGAAGTCAATCAACTCTTGGGAGATGTTGGCAACCACTCTTCAGAGGACGACGAAAACGATGGCGAACCCAGACGTTCATTCGGCAGCGCCTCTCGGCCGGGACTTTCGGTCAACGGCAGGAGAACTTCCGTCTCGATCGATGGCAACATGGAGGATAGTGACGATGATGAGGACGATGACGAAACCACTGGCTTGACAAAGAGTCGCTCAAGCCTTGGCGGCGGCAGACGCAAGACTGCCCCGAATCTGGGCCACTCGGTCACTGATATGACTGCTTCAACCGATCTGACGCTGGGAAGATCGCTGCGGCGGTACAGCACGGCGAACGACGAGATGCCGGACCAGACCTTCCTCTACTCTTCGGGCATCATGCTCAAGAAGCGCATCATCAGCCTCTACGTCTCGCTCTGCGAGCTCAAGTCGTACGTGCAACTGAACCGGACGGGTTTCAGAAAGGTCTTGAAGAAATTCGACAAGATTCTCGACAAGGAGCTGCGGGTCAAGTACATGAATGCCAACATCGACTCCGCATACCCATTCAAGCCGGAAAATATCAAGAGTATCGAGGAGAACATCTCCAAGATGGAGAAGGCGTACGCCGAGATTGTTACTCAGGGCGACGAGGGCCTTGCCAAGCGAGACCTGAGATCTCACCTGCGCGAGCACGTTGTGTGGGAGCGTAACACTGTCTGGCGAGACATGATTGGTATGGAGCGTCGCGCAGAGGCTGCCAGCTTGGGCAGAGGGCTTCTGGGAAGGGATGGAGCGACGGGATCCAGGCGGTTGCAGGGCGATGATGAGCTTGCCCCAATCACCAAGGAGGTGGTTACCCCCGTGGGCCGTTTCGTTGTGCCGACGTGGGTTGCCAACACGCCTCTGCTTACTCTCCTAATCGCTGTCGTCGTCTTCCTCCTTCTCCTTTTCCTCCCCATCATGGAGAAGCCCGAGCAACAGAACTGCTTGGCGTTGCTTGTGTTTGTCAGCATCCTTTGGGCTACGGAGGTGAGTTCCTCTCTGGATTGAATGCAAATGATCGATGCTAACCTCAAGATAGGCTATACCGTTGTTCGTTACGTCGCTTATGATACCCTTCCTCTGCGTCGTTTTGACTGTCGTTCGCTCTGAAGAAAAGCCCTACAGGAGGCTTGATGCCAAGGCCACCACGGCTTACATCTTCTCGGCCATGTGGACACCCGTCATCATGCTTCTGCTCGGTGGATTCACCCTGGCCGCGGCTCTCTCCAAGTGCAAGATTGACAAGCGGCTCGCGACTTTTGTCCTTAGCAAGGCCGGAACCACTCCACGCACTGTACTCATTGCCAACATGCTCGTGGCGGCATTTGCCAGCATGTTGATCAGCAACGTCGCTGCGCCGGTACTTTGCTTCTCCATCATTGAGGTCAGTTCACTCGCATAGTTTCCTGTTGGAAATAATCACTGACTTGCGCTGTAGCCGATGTTGCGAACCCTACCCTCAGAATCAAACATGTCCAAGGCTGTGATCATGGGAATCGCGCTCGCCTCCAACATCGGTGGTATGCTCTCCCCTATTGCCTCGCCGCAGAATGTTGTCGCTATTGGTATCATGAAGCCCGCGCCTACCTGGATCCAGTGGTTCTTCATTGTCATTCCTGTCGGCATCGTCTCGCTGCTCCTCATCTGGATCTTGCTATTGATCACGTTCCAACCGAGCAAGGGAACCACCATTGCTCCGATCCGCCCTGTGAAGGAAAAGTTCACAGGCATCCAATGGTTCGTCTCCATCGTCACGCTCATCACTATCGGCTTGTGGTGCGGGAGCCACCAGATGGAGTCCATCTTTGGTGACATGGGTGTCATTGCCATCATTCCCATCGTCCTCTTCTTTGGTATTGGTATCTTGACCAAGGAGGACTTCAACAACTTCCCGTGGACCATCATCATCCTGGCTGCCGGAGGTTTGTCTCTGGGCAAAGCCGTCAAGTCATCTGGTCTTCTGCACACTGTTGCTGGCGTCGTTACCAAGGAGGTCGAGGGTATGAGTCTCTACGTCGTCCTTGTCGTCTTCTCGGCCCTTATTCTCGTCATCGCCACATTCATCAGCCACACAGTCGCAGCTTTGATCATTCTGCCGTTGGTGTTTGACGTTGGCTCCAACATGGACGAACCCCACCCGAATCTGTTGGTCATGGGTGGCGTTTTGATGTGCAGTGCCGCTATGGGTTTGCCAACAAGTGGTTTCCCCAACATGAGTAAGTTTCTTCAACGTTCACAATATCGGCAGATTACTGACCAACGATCCAGCTGCCATTATGAAGGAAGACCCTACTGGTCAGAGATACCTCCAAGTGAAACATTTCATCAGCAGAGGTGTGCCCAGCAGTATTCTCACATTGGTCGTCGTCGTGTCCTTGGGATATGGCCTCATGAGGGTCGCTGGGCTGGACTAAGGTCTTGTCTTTACGTGACCGCTACGTACATGCATTTGGTCATTGATTCCTGTATCGTATGTCTGAAAGAAGAGAATGCTGGACTGCGTTTCCTTCGATTTGTTTGAAAAAGGGCGTAAATCCAAAGGGTCTCCAAAGGGAAGCCTGCGGTCGGAACATAGACACCGGTTCACATATACTACTTGGCTTTTCCCTGGTTTCTGGTTCATAGCTTTTATTGCTCTTATTTTGTATGTAAGGTAGACTGGAGTAAGCGATAGAATGGTACTGCGAAGCGTTTACTCAGGCAAGGATCCGGATAATTTTGCAGGTTTCTGCTAAATATCTGAACTTCAGCTGATACCTTTTGACATTCAAGAGGAAAGGCATGATCTTCTGACGTAGAGAAGGTGAAATGATGTTGAAAGTAAGCTTCTATGCATGTGACGCCAATATGCTCTGCGAACCCCGGCAAGCCCAACAGCCAATCAGATGCTGAAAACAGCAAAGGTTGAAGGAGGTGGAGAGAGGTTGCTACAGGTGGAAGGGTGGCAGTGGCGCTAGTCCGGATTGGGCGGAGAAAGAGGTCATCGGCTCCCTTGTGGAGACTTCGCCCTGACGTACCGCCAGACGGCGCACTTTCGCCCAGCCATACCCGAACCGATACCTGGAGCTCAACAATATCTCACTCACACACACGCGCGCCGTCATGATCGCATCTTGACGCTCTACTGTGACAGACTCGGGGCTCCCTCTACGAAACACCCTTCTGATGAGGGTATAGTAAACACGCCAAATATCCGCTCGGTGAGCTGGCAGTCGCCATGCTTTCGGCATTCACAGCTCGGCCGATCATAGAGCTTAAGCAACGGGATAAGTCCAAGATTGAGACAATCCTCGCGCATGGTGCGCTCCTTCCGAGTCGCATAATTCTCCCTAGAGCAGCCTCATCTAATGAATTGACGTAGGCGATCGTGTTTTCGTAGGCCTCAACAGCGGAGCTCTTCGCATCTACCGTCTCAACGAGCTACCGCCTCCGTCGCCGACCCAGGCCAATGGCTCCTCTCAACCTCCCGCGGCGGGTTCGCAAGACGCAACCGAGACCAACCCGACGACAGAACAGCCGAAGAAACCTACGGACCTGCTGCGCGAGGTAGAAAAGTTCTCGAACAGGGCGATTGAGCAGCTCGCCGTAATCAAAGAAGCCAACACTCTTGTCTCGTTGTCGAACTACTACGTATCCCTCCACGACCTCGGAACCTATGAGCCCCTGGAGACTCTATCGCGAACGAAGAACGCCACCTGCTTTGCCGTCACATCAAACATCGTGAAAGATGCAGCAACCGGAATACCAGAGATTATAAGTCGCCTGGCGGTGGCTGTCCGTCGTCGATTGCTGCTATGGAGCTGGCATGAAAGTGAGCTGAGCGCCGACGTTGGGGAAGTCACATTACCGGAATCGATACGAACCGTCACATGGGCTAGCGCGACAAAGATTGTATGCGGAATGAACGCGGGATACGTTTTGGTCGACGTAGTCACCCATGAGGTCGAAGATATCAACAGCCCAGGCTCCGCGGCATCAGGCGGGCAGGCCAGTCGTTTCGGAGCGGTGAGCAGCGCTGGAATGGGCTATATGGGCCTCGGAGGATACATGCCCAAGCCGCTCGCTGCGAAGCTTGCCGAAGGCGAGCTGCTGTTGGCCAAAGACATCAACTCCATGTTCATTACGGACGAAGGGAAGCCGGTTGAAAAACGACAGATTCCCTGGCAAGCCGCTCCTGAGCAGATCGGCTACTCGTACCCATACATCCTGGCTTTGCAAGCTCCGTCAAAAGGCTCGCTTGAAGTCAGGAATCCAGAGACGTTGCACCTGTTGCAGACCATACCCCTTCCAGGGGCGGCGCAACTTCACTTTCCGCCACCTAATGTCAGTCTCGCTCACGCGGGCAAGGGATTCCATATCTCCAGCGACCGATGTGTTTGGAAAATGGGGGCTACCGACTACGATTCACAAATCGACGAGTTGGTCGAAAAGGGCAAATATGACGAGGCCGTCAGCATCCTTAACATGCTTGAGGACGCCCTCCTCCGGAACAAGAAGGAGACTCTCCGAGAGGTCAAGATGCTCAAGGCTGAGATGCTTTTTAAGCAAAAGAAGTTTTACGACTCCATGGACCTTTTCAATGAGGACGATGTTCACGCACCACCTGAGCGAGTTCTCAAGCTTTTCCCGCCATCCATCGCCGGGGAGATGTCTGGTTGGGCGCACGGAGCGCAACCGGATGAATCTGGCAGCGATGAGAAGGAGAGTGAGGAGGAACCACAGCAGAAAACAAATGGAGATAAGCCCAAGGAAGATGCAGCGGAAACACCCGCATCCCCGGCAAAAGGAGGCGTTGGATTTGCCAAGTTATTCATGGGCTCTCGCAAAACGGTGCAACCAGATGCTGCCTCGATCATATCCAAGAAAGACACAATAGATGTCGAAGAGACTGGGAGCATCAGAAGCAAAGCCACCGAGAACCTGCCGCTTGAGGGCGAGGAGCTCTTGGCTGCCGTCACATCGCTGGCTGGTTATCTTGTGGGAACAAGAACGCGTCTACAAAGGGTCATTGACCCGAGCACTGGCAAGCTGAAGCGGACAGACACCAATGGCTCCAACGAAGAGACAATGAAGAGCTTCATGTCCGGCTCCCACGACGATGAATCGGGGAGCCAACTCGAGGGAGAGATCCGGAGGACGTCGCGAATTGTCGACACCGCTTTGTTCCGGACTTACATGATGACCAGGCCTGCTCTAGCTGGGCCTCTTTTCCGCCTCCCGAATTTTTGCGATCCAGACGTGGTCAACGAAGCACTGCTTTCACATAGCCGATACAACGAGTTGGTTGATTTCTTCAGCGGCAAGAAGCTTCACTCGCAGGCACTTGAGCTTCTGAAGCGCTTTGGAACTGCCGAGACACCGGACGAGGCTGCACCAGGCTTGCATGGGCCTCAAAGGACAGTCATCTATCTTCAAACACTGCCGCCGTCTGAGATTGATCTCATCCTGCAATACTCGGAATGGACCTTGAGAGCGGATCCAAAGCTGGCCATGGAAGTCTTTATCGCAGACTCTGAAAACGCCGAGACGTTACCTCGTGGCCGGATCGCTCGTTTCCTGGGCGGGATCGATCCAGGATTGGAGGTGCAGTACCTGGAGCACATCATCTCCGAGCTTGACGAGTCAACTCCAGATTTCCACAATCGTCTTGTCGAGCTCTTCATCAAGCATTTGAAGGAAAAGAAACGTGACGATGAATGGGACGCAGAGATGGATCGTTTCGTGCAGTTTCTCAAGACCAGCAGCCAGTACAGTCTTAGCAAGGCGTTCAGCCTCATCCCTCGCGACGGTAAGTTGATGTCGCTCGATGGCTTGTTGCAGTAACGACTAACACGGTGAAGATCCTGCTTTCTACGAAGCTCAAGCCATAGTGCTGAGCAACATGGGCTCGCACAAGCAGGCACTGGAAATCTACGTCTTTAAGATGAAGAATTATGCGAAGGCCGAAGAGTGAGTACCGCATCTCTGTTGGGGTACGACCGTAGCTAACCATTTCTTCCAGATATTGTAATATCGTCCATAAGTCCAGAGACTCTAGGCCTTCGTCTCCAGACCAGTCACGACGCCCGTCATCGGCGGATGATCCCGAGGATTCGGCTCCATCCATTTACCATACCCTTCTTTCACTATATTTGACTCCACCGTCACCCCATAAACCAGCACATGACCCGGCTCTCGAGCTACTGTCGAGGCACGGATCGCGTCTCCCGGCAGCATCGACTCTCTCTCTGATTCCCGACGACCTCCCTGTTCGCGATCTTGAGTCATACTTCCGTGGCAGAATTCGGTCTGCTAACAGCGTCGTGAACGAGTCGCGCATCGTAGCTCGGCTGAGAGACACGGAACTGGTATCGACGCAAGCGCTCCTGCTCCTTGGCGACGGCATACCCGGCGGACAGGGCGGACGCAACAGAAGGGTGACGATTACTGAAGAGCGGCTATGTGGCGCTTGCCACAAGAGACTGGGGCGAAGCGTGGTGTCGGTTCTTCCGGACAACAACGTGGTCCACTATGCGTGTTTCAACAAGGCGACATCGCAGCGACCGCAAAGCTCTCGGGCAGGAAACTGGGCTCGAAGGTTTTCGTGATTGAGGGGGCGGCAAGGAACGGGCGGGATGGCAGGCGGTAGTCTGAGGCGTGTTGGTGTCGTTGCTTGTGTTTTTTGTTCTTGGTACATATTGGTACTCGCATAGCCTTGGGTTTTTGAGAGCGGCAGCATGATACAGCAATACCCCGTATATAGGTGGCACAGAATGTACGATTGGCGCCGTGAAAAGGTCAAGAAAGTTTTCATGCCTCCCTCCCCTTTGCGTTGCTTGTCGCTTCAGTCGTCTGAGGGGGGTGCCTCCTCGCCGTAATTCTCCTCCTCGAGCGCCTCGTCGACGGCCGACTTGGTTGCGGTGGTACCGCCGTTCTTTGCGGCCTCCTTGGCCTTGTCCTCTTCCATGCGGGCGGTGAGTTCCTTGTTGATGTGCTCCTGGGCGGCGTTGATGGACTTGCGCAGGGCGTTGAGGTAGGCGGACTTGTCGCCGGGCGCGGAGGATGGCGGGGCGGGGAGGGATTCGGAGAAGGTGAAGGGTTCGTTTGTGGGGGATTGGTAGGTTGCTGAGAAGTGTAGGGCCGGAGCGGCGGTGGTGGGGTTTGTGTCTGCCATTGTTTATTGAGTTGGGGATGTCGTGGTCTCGTGGGTTGGATGGGCAGGGCAATTACGCTTGGTAGGCTGTGGTTGCGATGTGTTGATTCAGACGATGCAAGAAATAAGTGAAATAAAAGGCATGACGAAAATTGAGTGCGGCTCGTTGGGGTTGGCTTGGAAGGAATAATTGCCCCTCTTCGATCATTCCAGCTGGTCCCAATCCAATGTTCCGCTGAAGATGGAACCTGGAACAACTGCGGGGTTGATTACACTAAGTCAGCCCGCCTGCCGGCCCCCCCCCCCCCTCAAGCCTCCTGATGAATGGAAGCCATGGATGCGCCGCCCAGGTTATGCCAGGGTCGCAACCCGCGGCGCGTCAGTGGTGGGAACAAGGGGGATGGGATCATGGCAGGACTATTAGGTGGGGGCAGAAGAAAAGGACTCGGGGCAGTAATTAATTTACGCTGGAACCTTACGGCTGGCTCGCCGCACAATGCGCTAGACTGTCGAGTACAGCAGTAGGCATCGTTCCTTGGTTCTGGCGAGCAGGGTAGGTGAGGTGAGGTAGCATGGTCATCTGTTACATGGGAAATCTGACGGGGAGCTGACCCGGATTTGGTCCGCGGGGGCTAGGCTGTTGGATGCGCTGCAATTGGGGGGGGATTTGCTCACCGCAAGCGAAGACGGCCGCCCGTTTTGCTCGCTTCCTCAGCAACGGGAAGTCGATAGTCCAGGGTCAATGATTAGGTAGTGACCTAGATGCGGCCGCTGACCGATGGCAAGCGATGCGTTGATACGGATAGACAACCAGGTATAATTACGTGCAGGGCACCGGCAAGGTTCCTATAGTGTAAGATGCAAAGGACCCATTCCGTGTACGGAGCACCTATCTTACGGACACTTGCCAAGGTAGATTGCCTACTGGATCGCAGCAATACCTTGCGGAGTACTGAGGGCATTGATGCTGATCTTTGTGTCCCTTGTCTACCTCACACTTCGGCTCTGTGAGGGTGAGGCGCAATCCACTCCTCGCGCTTTCTCATAACCACCCTATTTCCTCCCTCACCTCGTATTCCCCCGGCCCTCTTACATCACCACCGCCCTTTCTTTCAGCTTTCCAGGTTTCTCAATCCTCGAGCACCACCACCACCATAACCACCACAATTTACCACCTCACCCTTTCAAGGTGCTCTTGATCGCCCGACCGGACGAACAACCTTTCCATACTGCCCTTGCCCTCGACAAACCAACCATTCCACTTTTACAAACCGATCCAAGCACAACAAACCTCCAAGACTCCTCCACCCGATCTTCGAATCGTCCGAAATTCCCAAGATGTAACAGAACCCTAACACATCCACGACAATGCAACCAGCACGACCCCCGCCGCCCCGAGCGCCGGGCAGCTTCAGCCCTCTGCCGGGCTCGACAGCTTCCACCGCACCGCACCCGCAACGTCCACGACCGCCCGCCCGCGCCGAGTCGTCATCGAGCGAAGAGAACCTCGCCATTCACTTCGTCAAGCCCCGATCTCACGCTCCGAGCGCGCCCGCTGCCCCTTCCACCAGTACCCCGATCTATGCTCAGTTTACCGCCCAGGCCAACTCGAGCACCGCCAGCCTGCAAAACTTTTCGCGCCCGACTGCTCACCGGTCGGGAACCACGCCCGGAGGTCCAGTTGGCCCTATCTCGGGAGGAGGAAGCGAACTGAGCGGGAGTGTGAGCGCTGCTGCTGCTGCCCGCACCGCGAGCCCTCTGACCAAGGGACACTCGAGGAAGCACAGCCAGACGCCCGGCCTGTTCGATTCAACGCTGCCCTCGACCAGCCTCTCGAACCTGTCTCAGGTGGGCATGTCACACCCGTCTGCCAACTCATCTTCAACACTCCAGCACCAGCACCAGCACCCGAGCCCTGCCCTCTCCGCGAGCCACATCGCGGCGCAGGCAGCCTTCCAACACCAGAACACTCAGCAGCACCAGCAGCACCAACAGCTCCAGCACGCTCGACAGCGATCGCAGACCGTCCCGAACCCGGCCAACGGAGACGCCGAGAGCGCAAGGAGGGGGAGCAGCGGAAAGGGCCCACTCAGCCCGCCTATGCTAAGCCTGACCGAGGCAAGCGGTCCACGAGAGAGCGGCTTTGGAACTCAGGGATACCACAACGGCCTACTTGGAAGCCATTCCGCCGCCGCGACCACAGCTGCGAACGCAGCAAACGCAGCAGCCAACGCAGCGTTCCCGCGATCGGGGCAGACATCGCCTGGCTTGCCCCAGTCGCAACATCAGCAGCAACAGCAACAGCACAGTCCTATCAATCCCACGCCGCAACTTATTCCAGATCCGAAGCCGGTGAAGCCAGAAAAGTCAAAGGTCAAGCTCTTCTCCCGTCCGGTCAAGATCGGCACCAAGGGCGACCCTAAAGACAAACCGCTCCCTAGTCCGAGCAAGATCGGCAGTGCGCTCGCATCATTACAACGCGGGAATTTCAGCACGAGTAATCTCATCGATACCAGCGGCCAATCTATATATAATCTCAACAACGCATCGTCCGCAACCATCAGAGCAGTGCCCGAGACGCCCACCATGGAAAAGGAAGGCAAGGAAAAGGAAAAGAAGCATCACTTTTTGTCGCGGCAAAAGCACAAGCTCAAGGATGACTATCATCTTCCACTATCTTCCGCATCGAGCAATTCGAAACCGACAGACCCCAGCGCCCCCTCGAGTTTGTACAGTTTCAACTTACCCCCTAGTCCGGCCCCGACTGCAACGTCGTTTGGCAAGGGACGAAGGGACAAAAAGACTGAAAAAGAGAGCAGCAACCTCGGCGTCGAGTCCAGTTCTCTCCCGTCGGAATGGCCAGGTCCAAGCAGCCTGCCGACATTGACGCATCAGTCGTCGTATCTCTCTGAACCCATTGACGCAGGCAAATACGGCCTCAACAGCATGGCGCTCGACGATGCCTGGCCGTATCTGAAAGCCAAGATGCTCGTCATTTTTGAAGGCGAAGATTTGCGACAGCCGGTGGAGGATTTCAATAGGCTGGTGACGTTGCACATTCAATACTGCATCCAACGCATGTCGCCCAACATCATTCTCGAGGATTTGCGCGAGCTCTTGTCGACCGGCTTTGCCTCTCTGGACCACACTCTCCGGCGCACGCAGGAGGATAAAGTCATTCCGGCTCTCGTCGAGATGTGGCTCATTACCTATACCTCGATTCTGCCTTACATGCAGGCGGTCTTTTTACCCTTGGACCTGGAGTTCTCTGGCTGTGGCGTTCTTATGAACCCGGACCAAGCCCGTCAATTCTGGGGCGGCGTCAAGTCACAGTCCTCCGATAGCGGCCCATACGTTAGTCCCGCATCCGCAGTCCTAGATGTGCGCCGTATCGTGCTTACGGCCTACCGTGACATTGTCATTCTCCCCCGCTACGACTCCCTCAAGGCCATCTTCTCCCGGCTGTCTCTCGAATTCCTCCCGTCCTCGTTCGCATCTTTAGCCCTCGCATCTCCGCTACCAGATCCGGCGCTCTCCTCAAGCCCCGCGGATGCAATCAGCATGATGCGACCCGGCACGGCCATGAGCCTCGATCCGTCCGTGGCGAGCTATAACTCGAACGCGACGACGCTCCTGGGCGACGGAAGCGCGGGAGGCGGCGGACGCAGCCGTGCCATTAGCAACGTCAGCTACGCCAGCGCCGGGAGCGATGGCCAGATGCGCCCGTTTACGCGCGAGCAGAACGTCGAGGACTCTAAGCAGGTCACCGAGATGGTGGGACGCATGCTGCAGTGCATGAGCATACTCGCCAGCATCGGGGGCGTGGCGGGCGACGGCAGCGAGGAGGGAAACAGAAGGATGGAGGAGCTGTGCCGGCTGCTCAAGCTGAATTGGCTTGGTAGAGGCCGGACGGGCAGGAACAGGAGAGGTATCGTGGGCGGGAGACGGAGGGAGATACCCGAGTCTATTAGGGAAGGGCTGCGTGTCGTCTAAGGGCGGGGGTTGGCTTGGGGATTTGCTGTGATGGGATGGCTTTGGCTTTGGTGCTTTTTTCCCCTGACCGTTCACCTGCTGGAAAGGGGGAGGCGTTTACTCTTTGGGATCAAATTGGGGTGTAGGTGGGATTTTAGAACGTTCTTTTTGGGCAACGTGAATAACGCGGTGCATGGCTACGGCCTCCGTGATGGCGTTTGTTTCAGTGGGGTTGAGCTGCATTTTGGGAATGGCACTCTTGTGGAAGGGACGCGGAGATTGCTCTTGACGTTGTTGTTTGTTCGAGACATAGCAGAGGGAACCAAAAAGTTATCAATTGGAGAGAGATGATGTTGTTGATTCCGGTCTATAGGGTGTGTATGTGGTATTTTGAGATGCTTCGTACATGCCTACCTAGTTCGGTGATGTGATTGATGTTGTCGAGTGTGGAGATGTCATTTTGGCTTCTTCTTTTGACGGCATCTCTTTTATTGGAGCCTGCGTACTTTCTACTACCTACCTTACCTTACGCCAGACGCTTATGGCCCGAGTTGCTGATGATTTTTCCTTACTTTCGGGCATTCAGGTTGGAGGCTCCGTGTGTGGTAGATCAATTATGTTTGATGATATCATATGATCAGACATGATAGTTCATCGTAAACGCCCAGCAAGGGATCATAGGTACATCACCAGTCCTATACGTTGACTACAGTCCTGTGTTAGAACGTGGTTTTGGACTGAGATTGGAACATGGCGTCGATTGCGAGTTTGAGGCGTCGCGTTAAGACCTTGTAATGATGACCCGTGAAATCATTACATTTTGTCTTGACAGCAAGATCCACATAGAAACGAGTTCGCATGCACATCATATTCACGGATCACGGCGAGAAGAGCAAGGCAGAACCGACATAGTTTGCAGTGATGAATGAAGATTTCATTTTTATTAATAGCTATTTGCAGCGCGTCCAGAAGGACACGCGATCTGAGCAGTACAAGATACCAAAGAAGCGTCCTATTCTTGAAACCCACGTTAGCTTGCGGTCGAGCAAAGGTGAAGGGGTTGAGAAACAGTGGTTTTGTGACAAAAATCAGACATCCAAGGAAGTGTTAGCCCTCATACGTCGCTTAAGAAACGCTTTTGCAAGCGTTCCCGCCAAGGCTCAGGCCGCGACTCGAGTGAAAACTGCGAACAAGTGGAAATTTCATCATGATATAGGGTGGTGTTGTTGCGTTGATGTGGAAGATAGATGAAGTACTAACCTTGTGGCTTGAGGGTAATGAATGAGGTGCTAGAAAGATTAGTGATGAGAGAGCGGAGAAGGTATAGCAGTCTGCGTCGTGTCCCTGAATTCACAATATGTCAACAAGGTTTGCTCTTGAAGGCAAGAGATGCCAGTGCTGATGAAGAGTAAAGATGATGTGTCAGACAGAATATACTGGCAAGTAACAGGTTCCTTTCGAGGGGAACCCGAACAGACTAGGTTTCTTCATGGTCGATTCGGTTGGGAAAAGAAGACAATGTTTCTTGAATGTCATCATTCGGAGAGATGGGAATGCTGTGTGAAGAAAAGGATATGATGCTTACCTGTACGTGGGGCGTCGCAGCGACAGCCAGAGAACGCGGGCGCGCGCATTCAAGTAACAGCAAAGCTTGAATTGAAGCTTGCGATCTCTGAATGCAGCGTGAGTGCGGTTCCTGGCTGTCGATGCGAGAGGGTGGCGTGAGAAAGAAGTTGGTTGCCCAGAGTTGGTGGAAGATATGGTTTGACGTGCAGGAGAAGAGATTTTATAGATGAGGCTCACGACGGAAATAGTGGAGACACAGCCTCAGATTTTTTTTTTTTCTCTCTTTCTTTCCCCTGGCGGGCGGACACCCGACCCTTTGGACGGATTGGTCCACTTTAAATCCACGTGACTCGAGCTTGGATCTCTGGTCGGGTCCGAAAAAAGTTTTGGTGGGGATTGGGGGAAAGCTAGAGTCGCAATGCAGCACGTGACATTGGAGCTCGGAGATATTCGCCGTAGTGCCCGATCCCCGCCATAGCAGGATTTAGATTGAGCTCATTGGACCTTTTCCCAAGGTTCATGTCACCGGACGAGGAATGGGGGGAGGGGGGGGGGGGGAAGCCGTGAGTGAGATGACCTCTAACATACTCTCTCTCTCCCGTGCTCCGGTACGTGTGTGATGGGGTCGAGCAAGTAAAAGCGACCGGGTGGTTCGGTGGGCACGTGGTGGCCATTGGCGAACGCGAGAACCAGGCAGAGGACGGGCAGGTCTACGCGATTTCGGCGCTGTCATTTTCGCACATTTGTCATGTTGCTGCCGTGGAGGCCATTGCAGCGGGATTTCGGGATGTGGTCGAGCGAGGAAGATTGAAAGGACGATACGGAGGACCTAAGGTAGTGAGAAGATGTTATCCGGCCCGGGTTCTCCTGCGTGTGCTAAGCAGTGAGGTGTGCTTTTGCTGTGCTGGTCAATTCTGCTACACTGCTTGACCCCTGGGTGGATATTGCTGAAGAAGCTTGCCTTGTTGCATAAAAGTGCTGATCGCAGCCCTCCCACTCTTCTTGATAAAGGCATATCCCGCATTTTTCTGGAGCTTCCCGCCACGCCATTCCGGCATATCCATGTTTCTGTATGCCGTATTGTTACATGGCGTATCCTACAAAACGATGTGACCCACTCTCCCGAAGCCGATGGGAGCAAAAGGTAGTGGCAGCCCGACATTCTGGCATGGTCGCCCGCCCACCTCACGCTTCTCTGTCCCTGCTCTGTTCCCGTGCCCCCAGGGCCCTCTCTCTTTCTCGCTCGACCTCGATCCTTATCCCGCCATTTTATGCCTTATGCCTTGTACCTTGCCTCGTCTTAGCTTGCCTACCTTGCCTTACCTACCGTACCTTCTCACTCGCTGCTTCCATTGCTGTCTCTTGATCGGCCTCTGGGCTTGAATTTGGCCGCAAGTTGAAGCCTCGCCTTTCAACCTTTCTACAGAGTAGGCATACAACCTCCCATCTCTACAACACCACTTGGAGCGCCTCCTACTCCTCCTCAAACACCCCTGGCTGAAGCCTCTTTTTTTTATAATTTGTTCCAGTCTACCGGGGCTCCGGACACTCATCTCGTTCCGTAGTACTGCTTAATTGCAAACACCCCAAACAGCCAACCTCCAAAGCAAATCACTTGGGTTTCCGCTGCCCGCTTGCAAAAGAGCCAGAGCTCAGCACGCCCAGCCAGGCTCGCTCTCCCAGCCCAGTTCCCTTTGGTTGCGTCGTCTCTGCGTCTGTTCTTCTTCAGCCAGCCTGCCAGCACCGCACCGCTCCGTACCACTCACCCACCTCCAAAAAGCCCCCCCCAAATCTTTCTCTCCCTCTCTCCTTCCCGCTTTCCTGGCAAGGCAAGGCGGCGCGGAAAAGGCTTGTTCGTTGCGCTCGACGTGTGCAATAAAAAATTGGGCATCTCGAACCAACCCGCTCTCCGAATGTCATCGACACCGGTCGATTGAAGCATCCGTCGTCCACTCTCACGACATTCCCACATCTGTTTCCGCTCGCTTTCGCTATCGCGCGAAACGTCGACACGTCTTTGCGTCCGTCGTATCCATCCTTTCGAGATTACCTTAGACAACCAATCCATTTTCCCTTCTCTAGTCGCCCACGTCTTTGCCGACGCCAACTTTCTACCCCGTCACTGCAGTCGGGCTCTCCTTTGGTCGCAGGGCACATACCCACCCGCCATCTCACCTCCCCTACATCTCACTTCCACCGCTTTCGTTGTTTGTCGTCGCATCCCGACCTCCTTACCACAATATCGCCCACCCACCATTGTCGTCACGCCGATCATCGATGCCTTCTCGGTCCCTCTTCACCTGTTGACCCGACCGTTCGCATTAAACGACTCCTATCGCAATCGATAACGCTAGTCGAGCCCGCCCGCACCCGCTCCACGCGATTGACACCACTTCCCGCGTCTTGCAAATCACGACTCCATCGCTGCCGCGTCGCGCCCATCTCCGCAACTCCAGCCGCCCCAATCCTTCGTACCTTTGCGGTCCCGATTGCCGATTTGTCGTCGAGATAGACCACCTTTGGACGTTGGCGCATGAGATAGCACGAAGGATAGACACGTCGATATCCACGCTGTGGATCATCGACACGCCGGAGACATGATGACGAGTATGGGACCGTCTTTTGCAGGCCATCCTGCCGGCATGCAACAGCATCCAGGTGTACCCGGGCACCCCATGGCCCAGGGTATGCCTCACAACCCAGGGCAGCAAGGCCCGGGCGGAGGAATGCCTCACCAGATGCACATGGCAGTATCAGGGCCTGGTGGTCAGGTTAATCCAAATCAGTTGATGGGCGGCATGCCGCCGGGTGCTGGAGGTCCGAACGCTCACGCTCTGCAGCATCTCAATCCTGCCCAAAACCAAATGTTCCAGCAAAATCAGTTTGGTAACTGTATGTCGAGTCTCCACGCCCTCGCCTCGGTGTCTTGTCCATTTGTTTCTTTACTGACCAAGTCGCGTAGTCCAAACTCCAGCGGCGATGGCGCACGCTACCCAGATGGCCCAGCAGCGCTTGTTCCAACAGCAGCAACAGGCGCGACAAGCGCTCATGGCCCAGCAGGCCTTCAACGCGAATATGGCGGGCGTCAATGGTATGCCGATGGGAATGCCAATGAACCCGATGAACGCAGCTCAGATCGCGGCTATGAGGCAGGGCATGCGGCCGGTAAATATCGCATATCCAACTTGCTACTCCCACATTGCTTACGATAGGATATAGCAGCAACATAACCCCCAGGCACAGGCGATGCTCGCTCAGCAGATCGCTCTCCAGCAGCAAGCCGTCGCCCAGCAGAATCAACAGATGCAACAGGGCCAACAACAGCCCGGCCAGCCGGTGCAGATGAACCCCCAGCACATGCAAAACCTCCAACAGGCCCAGATGGCAATGCAACAGCAGCAAGCCCAGCAGCAACAGGCTCAGCAGCAGGCTCAGCAACAGCAAGCTCAGCAACAAGCTCAACAACAGGCCCAGCAGCAAGCGCAACAGCAGCAGCAACAGGGCCAGCAACCTCAAGGCGGACCGCAGCAGCCTCAACCGCAACCCCAGCAGACGCCGCATCAGACACCACAGCAGCAGCCAGCGCAACCCGTCAACCCTCAATCTGCAGGACAGCCCACGCCGTCTCAAACTCCGGGCCCGGCCCCGAACCAGCAACCGCAACCTCCTCAGCCTCAAGCCCAACCGCAGGGTCCTCCTCAAATGGCTCCCCAACCTGGACCGCAACAAATGAACCCCGCGCAGCAGGCTGCAGCTCAGGCTGCCGTTGCCAACAGCATGGCTCTTGCTCAACAACAAAGAAGGGAAGGAATGAAGGGACACTGCCTACTCAAGTTGATGCAGTTTAGCGAACATTTGAGCGGCTTCCCCGTAAGTCGAAACTGAAGACAACACTCGGTCACAGCTCACTGACAGAAAATCCAGGGCCCCAAGGGCAAAGACGACCTGTCCTACTGGAACAGCTTCGTCAATCAATTCTTCTCCACCAAGGGTGTGTTCCGACACTCAGTACACATCACCGACGTCGAAGACCAGGCAGACAAGCAATACGAGATTACCTACCCCGCACTCCCTCGATACTTTCACACGCACTTCGACAGCGGTGTCAAGAACATGCAGTTGATCATGGAAAAGGGGACGACGGATCGACCACTCCCCGGCGACGGCCACTGGATCGAGAACACGAAGTCCAGTTTGGTCTACTGGTACGATAGCGGTTCGCACGTAAGTCAAAAGCTCCTGTTGCCGAGGACAGACACAGCTTCTAATATTGCGCGCAGCTTGTCGCTACGGGCACCGTCAGAGCCCACTTTGATGCAGAGCAAAAGATTGAACTCTTTGAATTCTTGACAACCAACCACGAAGAATACATTTCTAGAAAGGCCGCTATCGAAGCTGCGAAGCCCGTGCATAACTGGGTGAAGGAGTGGCACAAGGTTAACTCCCCTGACACCAAGACTTCCCCAGAAATGAGCAAGAAGGGCAAGGCTCGTATGATGAAGTCCCCGCAAAATCCTCCGCCAGAAGCACTGGTGGATCTTCCGGAGTCGGCGGTCAAGAGGGGTATGGGGGTTACCGAAGCTGTGTTCCAGTTCCTCGAGGTATGTGACAGCTCGCCCGCGCATGCATGTGGATCTCCGGCACTAAAGATGACATGCAGATTGCTGAAGTGATCGGCCAAATGAACCCCCTTTTCGCCTTCTACCACAACCACCCTAACCTCGGCCCATACGCTGCTCTTGAGCAGTACGTCGGTCAGATCAACGCCCAGCCGCAGGTCATGAACGGTCAGCCCATGCCCCAAGCTCCCAGGACACCCAGCTTCGGTCAGTTCCCAATGGGTGCGAGCCCAGCTCAGCCGCATATGCAGCTTCCTGGCTCGCCTCATGTCACTGGAAGCCCTGCGCAAGGCCACATGCAGGCACCCGGCATGCAGATGCAACAGAGCCAGCAAGGCACCAGCTCCAGCGGGCCTAGTGCAAACACGTCTCCAGCTTCCAACAAGCGAAGACGTCCATCCGGTGTGAAGATGGAGGAGGACGGCTCCCAGGCGCCTACCCCGGGTGGTCCTCAGGTCAATGGAGTCCAGAACAAGGGCAAGCCGCCTACGCCGCGGATGGCAAAGAGAATGAAGGGCAACCCGGCGTAAGCTGGAGGGGTGTCTTTGGACATTCAGGTTATGCTCTAATACGAGTCTGGCTACGCAGGCTCAGTAATGCCTTTTTTATGTCATCATTATGCAGCATGGCGGCGTCTTAGTGCTTGGCTTTCTGGCTCTGCGATCTCAGGGCTGTTCATATGCGGGTGTTTGGCAAGCATTTTGGACGTTCGGTGTTGGCTGGAAGCTCAATCCACCACATATCCTATGTCGATCTCGTTTGGCATCTAGGCCTCCCTTCACTCTCGACCAAGCCCACCTGGAAGGGCAGGCAAGTTCCTGCACAACCTCGGGACGAGACTTCACCAACTGTCTGCAGCGCAAATGGTGATGCCTCAGGTCAAATGAGACCCCTGGACCCCTCCATACGGAGCAACGGTGCAACGGTAGCAAGTTGTCGCCCAGCAATCGAGATACGCAGAGGCTAATCGAGACAACAAAGCTTGTCCATATTCCCCCCCCCCCCCCCCCATACCTGTACGATATCACGCTCGGCTACTGTCTAGCTCGGGCTCACTGTTTCATGTTGTTTATCCCTCGGGCCGCCTCGTATTGTCTGATTTGCCCGTCGGGGTCTCGATCACGTCTCCAAGCTACTTTTTTTCCTTTTTTGTTGTTGGCGAGGAATGAGTTGGGGGAAAGATGGGTTTCCAAAAAAAAGAAGTTTTGTGGAATTTTCTTCCTGGCGGAAAGCTTTTTTTGTTTTATCCTACGGCGGCGGAGGGTGGTGTTTTGTCGGCGTAGTCGTTGCTGTCGCTTTTATTTTCCTCCATCTTACAAATACCTAGTCTCTCATCGGAAAGGAAATATGCATACCCAGATTTTTGCCAGGGAGTTGACTTGATTTAATGTGATGTCCGTTTGATATGTTTGAATTACTCGGACCTATCCAGGTCAGGGAGAGGTATTTGGTAACTGCAATTGATGTTGTATGAAACACTTGCTTTTTACCATGACGGCCTTTGGAATCTGTTTTTGTTCAAAGCATATTAGAGCATGTCCACTTGTATTGATCCACCGTTTCTATCGACTTTCTTTCCCCGCATTACGGATCCTACCCAGACTAGCAGCTCTATATTTACTTCCCAGGGAGCAGCGCTGGAAAGATGAGAGAACCCCTTTGTGTTTAAAAAGTGAGGTTTTCGTCAAGGTGCTCAAAATTGTGTTGATCAGATTGGTAGGCATGTTTGGGTAAAGAATATCAAGCAGTCCCCACCCCCGTGGTTGTGAACTTTGCAGGAGGGAAAGTTCAAAAGGTGGAAGAAAATCATAAAAAATAGTCTAACGAGACAGTGGGAGTATCCACTGATACTGTGTATTAATACCGTGTAACCGATATCGAGAACCGCCCGAGCAGCCAGCAAAGGTAGAAATACAAAACAAATATCAAGCAGTCCATCCGTTTACACAAAATCGCGTTCCAGTTCATGGTGTCGCCACAAATGGCGTTGCCAGGCCTTGTCAGAAAGTTGGCCCACGTTACGGGGGGAAGAAAACGGATAGATCTTGTGATTCTGTCACAATCATGTCATTTCCACTGGAGGGGCAATCACGCGGGGGGGTGTTTCTGAGTGGTGCGAAACGGAACACTCTCTCACCACCCTGTTCGTTTGCACATAAGACTCATCGGAGATGGCTTGGGGTTTTCTCACTTATGATGGGACTTACCCGCCCTCCGCGACTGTGTCTGGGTTTTTCTTTCGTGTTGTTTGTCAGGGTGACTATACAGACTCATAGTTTTTAGTCCGCAATTTTGCGTCATATCATTTTGCGCTGGAGAGATATTTAACGATTTCGTCCGTCTCACCTCATCAGAGACAAATCAGCATTGAAGACACCTGGCGACTTATACGAACCAGGCAGCATTATTCGAAAAGGTGCAATTGGAAGGCTAGCGGTTGAACAAAAGCTCAGAATACCTAACATCTTACATCACTCAAAACAACACAGAGACAAAAAAGTGAGCGAAAGAGCGAAGAGAAAATGCCACTCTTCCGCTCCTCATCCGGCCTAGACGCCATCCTCAACCGCCCAGAAGACGACGGAATAGCAACGCATCTCCTCTCCAGCCCCCTCTCGACAGTAGCGAGGTACCTCTACGACTTTTTCCCCGTTTCGCATCCCGTGGCGTACCCACACGGCAGCGGCAGCGGCAGCGGCAGCGGCAGCGGCAACGACAAGAACCACGACGCCGTGACCGTGGTCTGCGTCTCGGACACGCACAACACCAAACCGCGCCTGCCGCCGGGGGACATCCTCGTGCACGCGGGCGACCTCACGGCCTCGGGCACGAGGAGGGAGCTGCGGGCGGCGCTGGGGTGGATTCGGGCGCAGCCTCACCGGTTCAAGGTCGTTGTCGCGGGGAATCACGATTTGTGTTTGGATAAGGGGTATGGCAAGGGGATCAAGCTTGGTGGGCAGTCACAGGACGACGAGGGGAGCTCGATATCACGCAGAGATGATGAAGACGACGATGACGAAGAAGACGACGACGGATCACCTCTGGACTGGGGCGACATCATCTACCTGAACCGCACAGCAACGACCCTCACGATACCCCCGCGCCGTCCCAAAGACGGGGAGAGGACGTACGCTGACCGCGAGATTCGCGTGTACGGGAGCCCGTATACGCCGCGGCACGGCAACTGGGCCTTTCAGTACCCGCGCTCCGGCGGCGCTGGCCCCTATTGCTCTTCCTTGCGCAAGACAGATATCGACAACGACACCTCAGGCGACCCCTGGCGCGGCACGATCCCGCCCGGGACGGACATCCTCGTCACCCACGCGCCGCCAAAGGGCCACATGGACGACCCGCGCGGCCACTGGGGGTGCGAGATGCTCCTGGCCGAAGTCTGGCGGGCGCGGCCGCGTCTGCACGTCTTTGGGCACGTGCACTGCGGTCGCGGGCGGGAGGCGGTCGCGTTTGACGGGTTGCAGGCTGCGTATGAGGAGGTTGTCTTGTTGGAGGCTGAGGCTTTTGCCGTGGTCGCTGGCGGTGGTGGTGGTCGTCGTCGTCGTGTAGGTAATGTGGTGAAGGCTTGGGTCAAGGCCTTGGTTGCTCTGGGCTGGTGTTTCTTGGTCTGGGGATGGGTGCTGTGGTGGCAAGGGGGGCGGAGGGGTACGGGGAGGACTGTGTTTGTGAATGCTGCTTCTGTTGGGGGTGTTCGGGATTGTCTGGTGCGGGAGGCTGTTGTCGTGAGGATATAGAAGTTGGGTGTAAGTGTGTGTGAAAAGTCGGAATAAGCTTTGTTTTCTTCCTCGAAAACGGGCGAAGGCGGGAAGTTATTTTACTACCTTAGTTTAGAGTTAACGTTGTCTAACACGCGACGAGGCTTATCTTCTAGTAGTCTTGTCGCATATAGTCTGCAGCTGTAACGACGATCATGCAAACAATTGCATGTTCAAAATGTGCAAAATGGCATGGCATCGGGGCCAAGACTGGCATGTTGTAAAACATTGAGGCTTGGCCTTATAGAGTGGAGCCATCACAGCAACAGTACCATCCAAAGTCCCCTTGATCATCAAGTGACGAACTCAAATGCTCCTTATATAATATAAACCCAAAAAGAATACTAATATCACTATCGTGAGATTGGGATCAGATTCAAAAGTGACAAAAGGTTGAGAGGTCCATCCAGGATTCGAACCTGGGCCTACGGAAGGTTCTGAGAATCAGAATCCGACGTCCTAACCAACTAGACTAATAGACCGATGATGATGTTGAAGCCATTTTGGCTGCTTCGAGGTCGGGGAGGCCAGAGCGCATATATCAAGGCTCGATAACGGCAAAGTGAAGATGAAACTCTTTCGAGTGTGAAAATGCATTTGCAAATGGGTGCCCTTTGCGGGAGCGCGTTCACATTCATGGTGATGAATTATCGAACATGTGGATCAACTATTCTGGTCCGTTTGCCCTCTCCACCTCTTTCACCCGCGGTCCCGTAGACTTTCTTCGCGAATCCCGTTGGTACCATGTCCGAGAAATATCAAAAGAATGATTGCTGTAACAGACGAAGAAATTGACTCTGATTGAAAAAAAGACTCCTAAAACGCCAAACCATGCTATGCGCCTTATACTTGAAAGACTTCAAACAAGTACCTATATGTCTCTCGCGCCTGTCTCTTGGATAAGGACGGCTCCGAACAAAAGAGGGAAACCCCAACAAAACAAAAATCAAAGAGAGGCTGCCCGTCCATGACTGCAACGCATCCGCCGCTGCTGCTGATCTCTTCCCCTTTTTCCATCCCCTCACTCATCACTTCAGAATCGCAATCAGCAAAACCAGAATGATGATGAGCACGACAATCGTCATCATCTGCTTATTCTCCCCGGCGTCCCGCGCGACCTTCCCCAGCGACCGGCGCGCCCGATCGAGCCGGCCCTGGTGCCGGTCCACGACCTCGTCCACCTCGTCCAGCATGGCGACGTGCGAGTCGAGCTCGTCGCCAATCTGCATGCTCAGCTCCCTCTGCCGCCCGATGGACTCGCCCAGCCGGTCCAGGTGGTCGTCCTGGTCGCGCATGATTTGCGAGTGGTACGCGTGGATCTGCTGGTTGTCCATGCCCTCGGCCTGGTCGCGGTAGCCCGCCGTGTCGGCCGGGTCGTCGCGGTACCGGCCGGGGCCGAAGAGCGCTGCGGCGGCGGCGTCTTCTTCGGCTGCTGCTGCGGCGCCGGGGGAATCGGTGAAGCGGACGGTCTTGTTGTTCGAGGCGGCGGCGCCGGGGAGGCCGCGGAGGGAGCCCTTGAGGGGTTTCGTGGACTGGGCGGCGTCAAAGTCGGCGGCGAGGGAGGGGTCGTTTGGCGAGGTTGTGGTGGAGGAGGTGGAGGGGTTCGAGAACCCGTGGAATTGGGAGGTCAGGTCTGAGAACTGCTTCTGCAGGGCGGGGAGGGAGTCGGTGATGTTCAGGGCGGCGCTGCGGGAAGTAGGATCCAGATTAGCATACCGTAAAACGCACAGAGAATGGACCACAATGTTCTCACGCGCAATTCGGAGAACATTCTGGCATGACGTTCCAAGGGATTACGTCGTATAGAAATGAGAATAGGACCAAAGGGGGAGGAAGCTCACCTGTCATCGCCGGCACCCTGCAGGCGCTTGGCCTCGGCGTCTAATGCTTCCAGGCCATCTTTGAATTGGTCGAGCGAGCGAGAGATGTGCCCGTCCTGGGTGTCGGCGTCGAGGTTGAGCGACAGGGCGCGCTGGCGCTCCAGGAGGGAGAGCTTGACGTGGTCGGCGAGCAGGTAAAGCTGGTTCAGGGTGGACATGTTCTTGGTCTTTTGTCTTGTCACGAATGTATCTGTGGGGATAGATATTCGAGTTTGTTTCCTGTAGTGTGTATGTGTGTGTTGCGATTCCCGACCGGTGCTCGTAGTGGACGGCAGAGTTCACAAGCAGGAGATTTGGATTGGAAGGGATGACGATGAGTGCAAACGTTGTTCCTGGATGGTCCGGAGTGGTTGCGGATTCGGGGGAGGTTTTGGAGGTGTTCATGCGCTGGGGAACGGGGGGACGGACGGAGACGGGGGGTGTGAGACAAGCGCTCAGGACGTCAGGTCGTCCGCAACAAGGACTGTGAGTTACGTTTCTGTGCAGGCGGCGCCGCAGTGACAGGGGTCTTTGGGTCCGTATGCTTTCAAGGGTGCCTGGGGTATTAGCGCCTCCCGTCCGGTGGTTTGGGGTCACCTAACCCAATAAATGGGGGCCTAGAACTGCAGTGCTTTGCGTGTTGTCCACGTCGACCTTCCAGGTTGATGATGCATGCACTCCACCTGAGTATGTAAATAGGGCTCTGGTGTGTCAGCGGGACGAATACTTCATGTTACACGAGTTGGCATTGCTTGTAAACTTGATAATCCCTTGAAGCAAGCAGCTATCTCCCCTCGCCATTTATCGAATAACGTCTCCATCCTTATCGATCCCACCAAGTGCCTCGAGAATGTCACTACCGCCCAACATCCCAACGGCGCCTCCGGTAGTCGATTTTGGCTTGTCCTGCCAGACTTCATGAAACTTGAGAGTCTCATCGCTCGATGCCACAACAATGGTTCCTTCTTTTGCTGTACGACTTCCCTCGAGCGCATCTGACGGTCCTCCTGGGTATGGAATGGCGTACAAGGCCCGCGGACCACCCGCCCAAGCAATAGCTCCGACTTGCCGACAAGACGGCCAGCTGAAGACAATAAGACGGTATGGGTGCTCGGTTTGGGCATAGCCATGGCTGTAGCCAAACGTAGCTGCTATTTCCCGCCGTGTCGTAGACCAGATCAATGAGGTGACCTGCGCACCGACGTCGATGGTGGCCAGTGGTGTGCTAGACGTCGTGTGGAAGAAGTGGATGCACTTGTCGCCCAAGCCACCGCCAGTGGCAACGAGCCCGTTCTGCCAGGGGCAGAATGCGATTGCCTTTATTGCAGCCTCATGTCGCCAGCAGTGCGTTTCCGTTCCTCGTTTAAACACTCGCAGATCTTCTGTAGGTGCTTGTATCGTTCTAGGGATGCCTCCAATAACACCAGCCTCAGTTGTTGCACTTATCGGAATAACGTCAAACATAGTCTCCGCGCCAGGGCTCAACCCATTGCCGCTCGCTTCGCACTCTTTTGGTCGAGAATACATACTGTCTCTTCCTAGCAGGCTCCAATCACTTTTTGACCGGCGGCTTTTACGGATCAGAGTCGAAGATGAGTTGCGGTGCCCGCGCTGTTTGTCCAATCGTTGTATCTCAAAGTAGCAGGCCGTGTTGTCGTTGCTCCCGGAAACAAAGTCTTGGCCATTCGGAGACCAGACCAATGCACAAATCTGCGAGGTGTGCGCTGCAATCTTGGCAACGGGCGTCACTTTTCCAAACCAAGTGTCACGAGATACCTCCCACAAGCTGGGCCACTCAACGATGTAGTGGAGGATATTTCCTCGACCATCGCCAACTAGAAGGTCCTCTGTCGGCACTGTAGCACTCGAGATGAAGGGGTTTTGGGATGGTCTTTTCGTCACTGATGGCCGCTAGCTGACACATTCGACCGGAAACGGGTGGTGAAACCAAAACCGCGGAAGCATTTCGTCAATGAACGACAGGAGACCAAAGTAACCGTCCTTGCGTGCAAAGGCCAGAATGGCCTTGTTTCCCTCGGTTGAGGAAAATGACAGAGATGTCAGGCTCGTATGTCGCTGGTGAGGAGTGCGGTAGACAGGTTGGGGATCATGCCATTCCGACCATCGGTAGACGGTGTTTCCCAGAGCCACAGCTAAGCATTGGCAGGTAGAAGAGTAGGCCAGGGGCGAGCGGTAGTAGTCATCCTCGAGGCCCGGCGCTTGGAGGACTTTGTACGGCGCCGCTGGCAGGCTATGTTGTAACTTGATTGAGTCTATCAACGAGTGTAAGCTTAATGAAGTACAGATGGTCGTTAGCAAAACGCAACTTACCCGTGGAAGATGTAAATATCTTGGCTGTATACTCTGCTCTTGGTGCCCGGGCCGGATGCACCCTGAAATCGAGGATCTTGGCAGTCTTGTCGATCTCCAAGGCTTTGGCCAATTCCTCTTCGTGTCGTTGGTGTTCCTCCTCTTCCTTCGGCCGCGGCCCAAAGAACTTTGTTCTAATTCGTCTACAGGGAGTAGACGAGGCTGGAGAAGAGCGCTTGGAAGAAGTTGGGGACAAGACCGACGGTCCGACGACGGAAACGGGAGCGGGGAGGTGACGGCAGGCAGGCGGTGTAGTAGGCAGTGGCAGATGATCTTGCTTCATGCGGATCTTTTCGGACAGGGGAGTTCCGTCTCGTCGAGGGATGTAGCGATGCATGTCCTAGGGAGAGATGATTTCTTAGGGGGGGCGGATGGTGAAGAGGAAGAAGAAGAAGAGCAAAGGAAAGGCGGACAAGTAGATCGCCGTGTCATTGTATACACGTTAGTAGCTAGCGCCGTCACGGGAAGCTGTGCAGGTCAGCTTGGCCAGTTCTTTCTCAGGTGCGATGGTCTCAAGCTCTTGCCAAAGGTGATCGAAGTGATTCAGATTATGACTAGCTCACTCTTGTGCGATAGATAAATAACCTAAGGTAATTACAGCTGACGAAAAGTGTATAGTAAGGCAACAACTTGGATAATAAGGGTGAGCATTGAACAGCAAGATGCAAGATGAACGGTGGGGTTTTGACGATGCCGTGTATACTGGATGCAATGGGAGTTGTGATAATGTTGATTTCCTTTCCGGATGACCAACTAAGAACAAGGTCTTGGCATCCAGGTCGTTTGGTCAAGTGCAGGCTTTTTATCTCCGAGACGCTTTTCATCTCCATTACCCAAAGCATATAAAAGTGCAGTTAGGCCGAACCTGACACTCGTCCTTGGATTAGTACCTAGCCCGTGATGTGATTTGCCTTGTCACAGCGATGAGGCAACAAGTGGAGGTTTAAGACAGCTACTCGAGGAGAGTGGTAATAAGGCACCTTACCATATCTAAGGTAGGTAGGTACCTAAGGTACTAGGTAGCACGTGGGGAGGTACGTACGACGTTACTCGGGGTCTTCTTCACCGGGAGCTCGGGCCACTGGCTAAATTGACGTACTTTGACAGACGTGACGGGGTAGTGGGGAATCCCTGCTCTGGCGCGCGCCGCCCGAGCTGCCGCCAAGTTCCCGCATCAGCTTCATGCCACCCAGAGCTCGCAGCGCCTTCAACCCCCGGCCCCCAAACTTGACTTTGAGCGGGCTGTAATTCCTCTCCGTCCTCCCTGATCGACCTCCCCTTTTCCTGTCAGATCATCCCGCTCTTCTAGAGCACCCCTCAGATCCCCATGGAAAGCGTAAGTATCACCAATTCCCATCCCAGCAGCGTCTTTCCCCCTTCCACCCGTCGTCCCTCTATCCATCAAACATAACCTCCATCGCATCTCCAAACACCCCACAACCGCCAAGACCATCTACACACGCCCCGTTCCGTCCCCTATTCACAAAGCTCACCACCCAAAAACGAATAGCACGGCATAGCCCGCACAGCCCGGAAACCACGCACCGAAGCCCAGCTCCAGGCCGACCTCGCAAAGATCGCCAACCTCCGCGCCCTCGAAGACGCCCTCCTCCGCGCCTCGCCGCGGCCCGCCGACCCGGCCGACCCGGCCACCCTCGCCCTGACCACGAAGCTCCTGCGCCTGAACCCGGAGCACTACACGGCATGGAACGTCCGCAGGCGCTGCCTAACCTGTGGATCATTATCAAGACCCTCGCCTGGGCCGTCGCCGTCGGCGCCGCCCGCGAGTTCATCAGCAGCATGCACTCCGCCTCCGTCCTCCGCCGCTGCGTCGCCCTCTTCCTCGACCGCGATCCCGCCAGGCCACGCGTCCCCACTGGACCGAGAGAATGGGAGGAGTGGTACAACAGCTGATGAGCAGCTGCCGCCGCCGCCGCCGGTCGATACCGAAAAGGTGGTCGACACTCTTAAGAACGAGCTCATGTTCACGATCCCCCTCCTGCTCGAGTTCCCAAAGAGCTACTGGATCTGGAAATACCGCTCCTGGCTCCTCCAGCAGGCCATCGACATACTACCCAAACCCATCGCCCGTCGCATATGGGAAGAGGAGCTCGGCCTCGTGTCCAAGATGCTGACCAAGGACCGCCGTAATTTCCACGCCTGGGGCTACCGGCGCAAAGTCGTCGCCACCCTCGAAAGCGCGGCGCTCGACGGCACGAGCCTGGTCGAGGCCGAGTTCGCCTACACGACAAAAATGATCAACACGGACCTGTCCAACTTCTCGGCGTGGCATAACCGCTCCAACCTGATACCCCGGCTGCTCGAAGAGCGCGGCGCCGACGACGCGGCGCGGCAAAAGTTTCTGGAAGACGGTAAGGACGAACCTCTACACATACATACTGTTTTGGTCTACGAATGAGAAGCCGGCTGACGAACAGCAGAACTCGATCTCGTCCGCGAAGCACTAAACGTGGGCCCAGAAGACCAGTCTCTCTGGTTCTACCACCATTTCCTCGTCCAGAATATGACCGAGCCAGATGGCCGGCCCAAGATCGCGCCGAGTCTGTCAAGTACGGAAAAGGCATCCTACGTGAGGCGTGAGATTGAAGATATCAAGGACCTTTTGGAAGACTACGATGACATTACGTGGATATACAAGGCGCTGTTGGACTACACGAGGGCGCTGCCGCGCATTGAAGGAAGAGAGCACAACGAAGAAGAGACGGAAGAACTACAAACGTGGATGACCAAAGTGCGCCAGCTAGACCCTATGCGTAATGGGCGTTGGACGGACCTCGAGAAGGAGTGTAGTCTACTCTAGCCTATCAAAGCAAAGAATACTATGTTCAAACCTTGTGTGATCCAAAGCGAGCGGGGGCGCCAAGAGGGGCAAGGTCGACTATCATTATGTATTAGGTACAGCGGCGAGCTAAGTATACACTGAGCGTTTCTACGTGCTGAGAAGGGGATGGCCACTTCCTGGCAAACCATATGAGCACGACACAGAACGCTCAAGACGCGCATTTGCCCTTGATCAGGCTGGCGTCCTCTCCTACCAACCCATCAAAGTACGACAGCAGCGTCTCGACGGGTATCATATCCATCAGGCCCAGTGCCGGATGGGACGACTTGAAGACCTGGCCACCCCAGAGAACTCTGATGTACCAACCACTCTCAACCGAGCCAGGCGTAGATGTAGATGTGGCCGCGGGAGGGTTCTTGGCGGCGGCGGCGGCGGCGGCACTGTCGTCCGCCCCCCGTTTCTTGTACAGCTCAAAGACGACCTCGGAGCCCATGCCGGGCCAGATCATGTGGTCGAGCTGCAGGATAGACAGCAGCCGCGAGACGGAGCCGTCGTGCGCGACGTTGTGGAAGTAGATTGTCTCGCTCGTGCCGTCGACGACGGCGCGCAGGTGAACGGCGAGCTCGGCGACCCAGACGCCCCACGCCGCGACGCTGGCGGCGAGGGAGTCGGGGCTGTCGCGGTAGAGCTGGGAGTACTCCCAGTGGCCCAGGCGGTAGGCAGCGTCGGCGAGGTCCTGCGTGACGCAGGTGGTGGAGTTGGCGCCGCCGACGAGCTTGCAGGGGAGGGGCTTGTCGTGGCACTGGCGGGCGGAGAGGTTGTCGTAGTAGTGGTCCAGCGAGGCGTGGAAGCCCTCGTCGTCGGCGGGGACGCCCGAGATGTCGTCGAGGACGGCGTAGAGGGGGCGGGCGGCGGCGAGGTGCTGGGCCCAGGCGGCGTTGGAGGCGGACTTTATGCGGTTGAAGAGGGCGTAGCCGGCGGGGCAGGGGTACTGCGGCTCGAGGGAGTCGACGCCGGCGGCCTGGATGTTGAGCTGGAGGGAGTCGGTGGCGGCCCACATGCCGTTGACGACCATGCCGGCGACCTGGCTGGTGATTTGGTTGTTGGTGACGCGGTACTTGATCTTGCGATGCCACTCGGGCGAGTTGACGGTGTCATGGCCGGGGATGAGACCTAGGAGATCGTGGTAGACGCCGTAGAGGTCGGCGCCGTGAACCCAGGAGTCGTCGAGGCCCTGGGCGGTGATCTGGGGGAATTGGCACGTTCCTATCCAGCCCGCGGGGACGAAGGGGTTGACGGGGGAGATGTAGACCTTCCAGTAGGTCTTTGCTGGCTTGTTGCTGCTGGCAAAGGGCTCGCCGTAATAGAAGAGTCCTTGGTCGTCGCAGTTCCACTGGTACGGCTCCACGGGGAAGGCGTTGGAGGCGTAGGGCGTGCGTTTGTGGTGGCGGTGAACCTTATGGACAAGTCAGTGGTTGAGGAAGAGGAAGAGGAAATGGAAAAGGAAGCAGTGGAAAGGGGTTCGGTTTGTTTACTCACTAATTCCACGTACTTGAGCTCGTACTCATCCGACGGCTTCACATACTCCGTCTTGCGCACATGCGGCATGTTGCACCAGTTATACTGCCCGTACCTGTCGTCGGGAGTCTCCGAGGTGTCATAGATGAACCCCCAGACACCCTTGCCGTTGATCACGGCGGTCAGATTATTGACCTCTGTGCGAGTGGGCGCGTACCAGCTCAGATCAACACCACCAGCTGCATTTACGACACCGCCGGAGCTGGTGCCGGTGCCGGTGCCGAAGACAGCAAGGCCGGCCAACAGAGTGGAACCCTTGGGTGCCATGATATGGGGGAGGGCAATTTGCACAAAGATGAGGAAACTAGCAACGATGAGGAGGGACTTTAGCCAGGCGGCCGGCGACCCGATGGGTCTTCTTGGGAAAAAAGTTGAGGAAGCCATCCATACTTATGGGTGGGATGCGGCAGGGGGCGGGGATGACCTCTGCTCTCTCCGAGCGAGGCTTGTAAGGACTCGAGAGACAGCAAGCAATACGGGCTTTGCGTGTCTGTAACCCACGTGGCTCCGCAAAAGTGAGGTCCAGCTAGCACTCGAGTTGAAGGGTAATGAGCGGGTCGAGGCAAATGGGGGCCAAAGATGAGTTACTTTCCTGCAGTCGCATCGAAGCCTCGCCGGGAGGTTGTTGGACAAGTTGGAGGAAGGGTAGGAGGTTGGTGTTGGAGAGATGGAATGGGGTGTGCTCCGTATGCGAAGGAAGTACTCTGGACCTTACGAAGTAAGGTACCTTAAGGTACTTCCAAGGGTCGTGCACCACGTGTTCCGCCGACTGGTCGCGAGCTCAACCGGCCTCAGGTACCTTGCCTCAGGTACCTTGAGCAACTGGGGTAAGTTAGGTAACGTAGGTAGGTACCACGCAGTCAGGAGAATAGGTTGGCCGCTTTTCTCAGGCTTAATGGTTAAAAGAGCGGCCAATGACCGCCGCGTGGGTACTTCGTACAAAGCGCGACGGTACC